CCGGATACCTACATCGTTTAAAGCAATTCTTCTATGCTAAGCAGACCCGTTATAGCGCTAAAAAGATAGTAGGAATGTAGATCAACGCCGTCGACTAGGTTAGATATATAGATTTTTCCACCCCGCGAGGATCACAAATGCACATCGCACAGTTCCGAGCCGCGCTAGGGTCATGTGTGGTGTCTTCTGTGGTGACGGGTGTCGCATATCGAGGAAGGGGAGAGTGAAGATTAGGGAAGTGATAGAGAAAATAGAAGTGTATTTTTAGAAAAGGAGTGAAGGTTCATAGTTTCTTGAGACAACAACAAGAAAATATCAGACGGAGACTATGAAAGACCACCTTCTGATTCAAGTGCTTGAATGCAAAGGTTTGTCTCGATCTCTCAGAGAAAGCCTCCTCTAATGATTCTGAGGAAGTCTCTGGGGTTTCCCCCAACAGCCAATTGACCCGCCTCGATATCAGTCCTAGGATCATCTAGGGCTCCCCTTGCAGCTTCTACACGATTTTTCTTAGGCCCGCGCCCACAAGTGATAGGTATTATTCGGCGGAGCAGTTGATTGAGTGATACTCTCCATACTATCTACAAAATGATTCATTCATTCCACCGCGGGTTGTGTAGGAGATGAGGGCCAGCGCCAATAATCTTCACCTCCGTTCTGGATTCTCACCGTAAGCAGGTCTGTCGAAAGAGCTGCCCTAGCGTACCTGCGGGAAGTCAAAAAGAAGCAGACAAAAGAGAACTTTTTTCTCCAGCCCTAATTCAAAGGGGAAGGGCAAGCATCTTGGGCAAAGTGAATCCCCAGAAAAAGCGAACACTATTTAGCCCATACATTCTTACTTTTACCCAAACTCCAAAGTCTCTTGATTTTTGAAATATCTGGAAGTTTCCCTTTCGGTGTGGTACATGTTCATCTCCTTGAGCTTTTTGAAACGGACGCTAGACTTCTCGCCTCTTCTGACCTACGTAGTTACAGACTCGCCGTTCTTGTCTGTAAAGCCTTGGAAGATACGTCGTGCTACGTTAAAATACAGGCTAGCCTATATAGTTTGTGTGAGGGTTATGCGTTGTGTTCACTACAGTTAGATTCTTAGATTACTCCTCTCGGGCTATTAGAGTATATTTGATATATAGGGATAGCTCTTCATGTGATTTATCAACTTGCCCTTCTGTATATATAGCCTCATTCAATCCTCCAGTAGGCCTCAAGCTTCAAAATCTCAAGTGCTGGCTTCGTCTACTTCCATCGCTTACAGCAAGTCTCGTAACTGGTGTCAACTACCTACACTCTTGCCTTGTTTCTCAAATCCTGATGTTAAGATTAACGAGTCTCTATAAGGGATAGCTCCGCGAGATCATTGTTCCTGTGCGTCACTTACACAATAATTTATCGCAACTTATTTCACGACTCATGCCTAGTAGCTGTATGGCCGGGGGATCTATGGTAGCAGAGCATCCGATGAAAATGTAAAACCAAATGAGACTGTAGATGTGCCGACAGATGGGAGAGAAGTGAACAAATACCACCAATTTTTACTCCCTTGTGAAGCAACCCGATCACTCTGCTGCTGCAAGCATCTGTTGCTCCACCCACCGACCGAAGCGCACGCACGGCTCGTCAACCGCAACCATAACCCGATCCGCAATATAAAAAACAACAGAAAAGACTATCAGCCATCCCAACGCCAGACCCATTGGGTCCCGCCAGCCTTCGCGCCCCACTATAGCCCATATCAGCGGGAATACCCGGTACCCAAGCCCGTGCATGACCGGCCCATGCACCAGATACAGACTGTACGAGATGCGGCCCAAATATTGGACCAACCGGGATTCGAGACCGCGCACCAGTAGCCCGTCGTGTGGGCTATGTGCCAGCGCCGCAACAAGTAGGATTGCCCCGACGGACGGGTAGAAGCGCCAGTCGCGCTCATCGTGCGGTGGGATCAGCATTGCCAGCATGCGGTATCCCGGCGTATGCGAGATACAGTAGTCCGGAGCTGACATGAGGTAGAGACCGACAATGATGGTGATGGTGCAGAGGACTAGCCGGCATAGGTATCGTTGCCGGGACTCCGTCGCAGTGGTGGAGGCCTCTGCACCGGATGACGATGGCAAGGGAGCACATCCCGTGTTTGTCGTCTCCTGAAGCGGGAGAAGTTGATATCCTTCGCGCCCAGAGCCATTCTGGCACTCTTGGCTATCAGGGCTCTCGTGCTCACGAATTGGTAACAACACCACCGTTTCTGCAATAATGGCCCCCGCTAGAAACAAGACGGCCACCCACCGCGTGATTGAGTAGCTATATACCAGAAGCGCGGCCAAAATGCCCATCCTATAGTGGACCCGCAATCGCACAGTGATCAAAAGCATGAGGAACAGCAGCATCGAGCTGCGATATTCCATCGGAATGGTCCACAGATGCACGTCATATGGGGGGTAATATTCATCCCAATGGCCGTAGTCCAGCATCCGAACCACCATGACTCCCCAACTCATCAGCTGGGCCCCCAGGCCGGCGAGTCGTGGTTGATGAAACTCGCTTTCGGCGCGGATGATAGTGCGATCCGCCGACACCTCTGCCGGATAATCCCATGCACCAGCGGCTATCAGCAACATGGTAACAAAGCTGACGATCAACGGAGGCAGGAACAGCCGTGTCATTCGCCGGAATGCGGATGAACCGATGACCTCGTACAGCTCGGCCGGACGGCTGGAAGTTCCACCTCGATGAAGGATCTGCCAGGGCCGGTAAGAGAGGACAAAGCCGGAGAGCACAAAGAAAATGCAGACAGGAGCAGACCCGGAGTAGATGAGGCGAATAAATGGGAGCTGATGGAAGCGCTTATTATGGGTGAACTCCTCATTGTGGTGTGCACAGTAGGGTTCCCGATGGCCGTCCTCGGGGGTCAGCCCATAGCCATAATTTACAAAGGTTTCAAATGCGGACAGGATGTGATAATTCACTACACACCATGCACCCAAGCCACGGAGGCCGTCGAGATGTGCTGTGCGACGGAGGGGCTTATTGTCGGTGCTGGTATGGTACTGCAGAAAGGTTGGAACTAACAGCACTTGCACAGCGCGGAGAAGCTGTTGAGCCCATATGGCAGGTTTGGACACGCTTTCCGATGAGGGTGAGCCGTGAACGGCCATGTTCAATCTGAACAAGGCACACAGAACCCTCTAGTTTAAATCATTGCGGTCTGGGAGACCGAGTTATATCAGAAGGCTTTCGCCCCTCGCGTGAGGATTAGGGCCATGCCAGCCCGTAATACAATACAACACAATATACATATGTGATATAATACAATATAATACAGTACAATATAACGTGTAAATAAAAGTGAAAACGGTATGTATTGATCGGTAATTCTCATACACACCATGCCTAAAATCCTTCCATGGCGGCTTCTGCCACCCCGCGCCAGTGGGCCACGCGGTCCTGGGCCTGGCCTCGCGGGCACACCTCGACAATAGCTCGAATGTGATTGATCGCCGTCTGCATCATCTCCTGCTTTGCATTCAGCTGAGTCTCCTTTAAAATATTCTCTGCCCCCTTTTCGCGGCAGATTTGCTCAAACAATTTCTCCATGCGGGTCTGCTCTGCCTTATTATCAGGGTCCCATTTCATGTTCCACAGGAATGCTCGCGGGGGGTTCCACCTCGGCCCGGGAACCACCCCGCTGAACTCCCAGTCTATCACCGCGGTGATTGGACACCCTGGCTGGTCCGGGTCGCACATGATGTTGGCAAAATGTAGGTCTTTGTGTGCCATGATGTAAGCGACGCTGTTGAGCTCTGTCTGGTTGTCTTGCCGCTGCAGTTGCGCCATGAATTCGCGGATCCGAGGGATCAAGTCGCGATAGGGCTCCAGAGAGGGATGAACCTCGATCGCGTGGATATACCGCTCGAGGCAGCCATTCGTGTAGTCAGTGTAGCTAGAGAACCCCTCAGCTGGTATGGGATTGAGACTTTCGAGCGTCTCCGTACTCTTGACTCCGGCCGAGGCAGACCAGTACTTCTCCAGGTCCGGCGTCTGCCAAAAGTTTTCGTCGATAGGTGGTCCGAGGGCAATCTCGCCCGTCGGTGTCAGGGTCAGCCCACCCACGTACCCCTCCTTCCAAGGTTGTGCATGTAGCTCAATCAGATAATCGGTCAGTTGGTGGACCATCTGCGTCTTGACATCATCGGATAGTGTTGCATATATCTGATCGACGCTGATGCCAGGCGCTTTCTCAAGTAGTGTGAACTCATGTCCGATCACATTATTCTCCGTCGCATCGTACCGGATGATGGCCGGTACGGGAATGGAGGTATGCTTGCCGATCCAGGTCATGACGCCCACTTCGTTGCGTGTCTTGATGACAGGTAGCTGCCGTCCAGAGACACGCAGCACCAGTGTAGTGGTACCATCCTTGTTTTCTCGTGCTTTGATACCTGGTAGTGAAGTGAAATGGACAAGATAGATTGAATGAAAGGCGGCATTGACCTGCAGCGGCTCGATGGAGGTTGGCGCAGGGAGATCCAATGATACGATCAACGAGGTGATAGTTTCCGCGCTCAAGGCAGGAGGCAGATAAATATCAGGGGTGCCCATTGTGAGGATTTAGGAAGTCTCTGAGAGGAGAGACAATGGGAAAAGATTCTTGAAAACAAAGATAACGAGGCCTCTCAAGCGAAAGATATAAGTTTGGTTGGTTGCTTGGGGTCAAGTAGTGCGTAATAAAACAGTGCCTTCTTTGTTTTCGTAATTTATCTTTTATATTTCAAAATATAATCTTGTGTATTTTTAATGGGTAAAATTAAAATATTAGTATTAAAATGTTTTTTTTTTTTTTTAGGCGGATGTAAATTACAGATACCTATGCGACTCGTTACATTCACAGAGGATCGGCCATGCACATAATCCAGTAGTGTCTCAGGGAGATAGCAAATTGCCCCCTTATCAGTACTCCCAAGAGATTGTCAACTGTCAGTCAATTGACTAATTATCTAGAGATATCACCCTACTTTGCGGCCATCCGCCATGGTGATGACACGATCCATCCAGGAGACACTGGTTGCTCGATGTGCCACACAGAGGATCGTACTATGCCGGAAGGACTGCTGTAGGGTTCGCTGGATTCTCTCATCTGTGCTTTGGTCAACATTCGCTGTTGCCTCATCGAGCACCAGGATGCGCGGCCGCACCAGCACCGCCCGCGCCAGAGCAACCAATTGCGCTTGACCCGCGGACAGATTGGTGCCCCCAGCCAAAATTTGTTGGTCAAGCACTGATTCGCGGTCAACGCCGTCTGATTGGACCTCGAGCTGGTGCCATGCCACTGCTGACAATGCCCCGAGCATGTCCACATCGTTGCTGCACTGAGAGGGATCCAGATTCTCACGAAGCGTGCCCTCGAAGAGCACGGCATCCTGGGCGAGCACATGAACGGCTTGTCGACGCTGGCGCAGCGAGACCGTTGCCAAGTCCACGTTGTCAATCTGAATAGTGCCTGCTATGAGTGGTACAAGCCCTGTTAGTGCCGCGATGATGGTCGATTTGCCGGAGCCTGGAAGATGGGTGAATGTCAGCCAATCCGCTGTTCTGGACATTTCAAAAGCCACTGGAGTATTAGGATCTATAGGGGATAGATTGACGCACCGCTTCGGCCTACGATTCCCACTTTGGCACCCGCAGGAACGACGAGATCAAAGGCATGGAGAGACGGCTGCGACGCTTGAGCATACGTGACTCCAACTCCTGAGAATGTCACGCTGCCACTCTCTGGCCAGGAGGGTGCGATTTCTCGTCCGATGGAAGGAGAATATCTCTCCGGGGCAGGGAGCATCAGGTACTGATTAAGGCGCTCCATGGAGTTCATTTCAACGTCAAGGTTAATGAGAGACCATAGAAAAGTGTCCAGGTGTTTCGCTAGTGTGATGCTCAGGCTAAGGGTCAGACCAGCCTGAACGGTTGTAAGCACTCCTAGGCCGCATAGTGCACAGGTTGCACCTAGTAGCAGGACGGACACGAGTTCCACACGCACTGTCACCCACGTCTCGAGTGCGTAGCGGACGCTGATTCCAGCCATGGCCTTGGACAGGACTGCGCGATGCCGCTCCTCAAATAACTCGATGGCGGAGTACGCTTGGAGTGAAGCCCGCGCACACATGGCCTCGTTGATCACGGTGAGGACCGGGGAGTCCAGGACAGAGCACAAGCGACGCACTTCTCGTGCAGATCTACTCCAGAAGCTTCACGTTAGCAATTTCCAAACTAACGGGAACGATTGTGAAGAGACAGAAAGCCTACACTCCATAAAGCAGCTGTATGCGACTGGTTATGTACCCAATGGGCAGGATAGCTAGGATTAAGTAAGGCGAACTCATTGCAAGAACAATGGTACTAGCTAGCAACGAAGAAGCTGCGAGAAGCAAGCCATCCGCCGCATTGATCAATCGAAAGTCGATGCCCTCGATATCAACCGATAAGCGATTGGTAATCCGTCCAAGCGGCTGTCGGTCAAATAAATCCATATCCGCGTTGAATAGTCGTGCTAGAACGCCTTCGTGGATGTGTCGACTGGCTTGAACGCTTCCAGAAACCAGATATACACCGACGAGAGCTAGTTTGTAGTCACCAACGAATAAGCTCAAGACATTCACACTCCAAGTTCAGTAAATGAGGGAGTTGCATACCTACAAACACTGCCTGCGATAGCATCACCCCAATATATCCGGACATGTAGAGGCGTTGCGCCCAGTTCAACGTGTCCCTCACCCACCACGCCAACCAAAGATTTCCTAGGATACGCGTACCCACCGTTAGGCAAAATATCGCACTTAAAGCAGCGATATAGGGATATCCCCCGCTGTATCTGAGATAGACACCATATAATGCCCGGTCAACGCTTCCTCTAACTCTAACTTCCTCGCCAAGAGCAACTGCTTTGGAGTTGGTCGTGTTAGGTGCTGGGGAAACAGATTGTGCTTGGTCATGTATCGGGGTAGACAATTCCTTAGGTCCATTCAGCAAGGTACTTCCGTCGAAGAAAGAGTGTTTGAGGACTTGATCTGGTGGTCCTTGGGCAATGATTCTACCCTTGTCCAAGACCACGATATTGTCACACTGAGGGAGCAGGTCGACTTGATGAGTTGCTTTTTGCAATGTCAGCTACAGCCAATAGATAGAAGTGGAAGATAACCGTATAGCAGATAGTAAACATACCAACGATGACTGTTTGGGACAATTTTCTAATGCAGTCGTTCCAAAGCGATTGACCTACGCGGGTGTCCACAGCCGATAGAGGATCGTCAAGTAGGACAATTTCAGCTTGACTATACAGGGCGCGGGCGAGTGAGATGCGCGCTCGCTGTCCACCACTCAGGGTCGCCCCATTACTAGCCACCAGCGCTTGATCGCTGCCGGGGAAGGTGTCCAGGTCGTCTTCAAGACAGCAGTCGCGAAGGACCTGACGGTATCGGAGCTCCTCATAGGGCTGCCCAAGTAAGATGTTGTCCCGCACAGTACCTTGCATAATCCACGGATCCTGGCGGCCAAGGGCGCAGCTTCCATAGACCTTGACTGATAAAGGGGGCTGAGCCACGCATTCTCCAACAATTCCCTTTATCAGAGTGGATTTCCCGGCGCCGCTGGCTCCATAGATACCGGTGAGGCGTCCCCGTGGAATTTGCAGGGTGAGGGCATCAAGTCGGAATGCACTGTACTCATTTGCGATATCTGAGTTTGTTGCGAGGCCAGGGTAAGAGATGGTGGCTTTGTCGAGGTTGATCGCAATATCGATATCGTCTGGGCGCCCAGAGCTCTGTTCGTAGACTTCTTCTTGGCGCAGGATATCTCGCACGCGGAATACACTGGGCAAGATGGAGAACTGGCGTGTCACCGCTAGTGACAGCTTCGACGCAGGGCTGTGGCTCAGCTCAAATAGTGTAAGAGCTGGGAAGATCACCTCGGCATTCAAGGCCTGGTGGTTGGCCCAGTAGGAAATGAAGGAGACCAGGGCTGTCAGGCCGGGAATCATCTGATTAACGGAGATAAAAAAACAAAACACGAGACGAAGGCGACGCGTTAATGCTACAAGTTGCAGTTCACGAATGTCGGCTATTTTCTTGGTGATTATCGATTCGAGCTGCAGCAATTTGATTCCTTTTATCCGCTGGAAGGCTTGGCTTAACATCGTGATTCGTCGCTCGTCGTATCCAAGGTATTTCTCCATAGCACTCGCTACTTTTGCGTTGGCTTGAGTTTGCGAGAGCAATAAGGAAGCCATGACGATATATCCTACACTCAATTCATCAATATTTAGCTTTCAATATATTTTGAAACAATATGAGATTCTCACCTAGTAGCCCAGACAGACCCAATAGACGTAGCACCAAGAGAACAATCAAAATCAACTGTAGTGGACTGCTCCAAATGTCGTGTATCTTGAGGATGTAGTTACGTAGGAGCATCATGTCGGTAGTTGAACAGCTTACTAGGCGACCCTCCGTACAGGTTGCTCTACCCGAGAACCGGAGGCACTTACGAAAGAGCGCCAACTGCAGGATCGACGAGACACGAACTGCCAGAACCCGGCAAATCTGATCTTTGCTGCGACCGGCCACTGCCGCCAGAAGACTGATACCGAACAGAGCCAGCAGATGGCCTGGGTCTGAAGGTTCTCGAAGCACGCGCTGCAGGAGTAGTGGCGCCGCCACTGTTGATAGACAGGCGACCGCCTCCAGCACGCCGGACAGCACCAAGGGCACTAGAATCTCGGGATGTCGCAGCACACGACCGAGCTCGCGGCGACGGACAGACTCCGCCAGTGGAGTGTAGTAAGCCGCATTCTTGGATGATTGAGGCAACTGAGACTCGTCGAGATAGTCGACAGCTCGGATGGCCCGCATTAGTGTCGTCAACCAGCTCTGTCGCAAGTCATACTCACGGGTGGCGAGGTTCTCACTCACCCGGCGACGGCCATCAGCGTGTAAATCTTCAAGGTCAATTTCCTCAACCGGATTGTAGCCATTACTCCGGGAAGGGAACATATTCCTGGTTGGAATTAGGGCTGAGCCTAGGACCGTTGCACGGCTTCGCGAGATGTTTGGTGCGGGTGATTGGCTGAATTCAGATCAACTCGCTGTAGCCTTCAACATATATGTCTTTCTACTAGTATAATCTAGTGGCTAGGATGGAAAGTTGGTCGAGTTACTAGAGTGAAGAAAGGCTACAAGTATAACGGCTACAAACGCCAATCCCATTATGAGACATAATTGGTTAAATACACCAACCCTGCTTTGACCTTTCAAGGTTCAAATGCTATGGTCCAGGTCCCACTATTGTGGACAGATAGGCAGGACGCAGTTCATCTGACCCCTGTGGACCGAGCTGAGTTGACCGATGTGACACGAACTATCTTCCCACAGATAGGTAATACGTCCACGGGTATTAGGCGTTCCCTCCCCGATGTGGGCCGAGTCATGCAGCAACCGTGTACATTGCCCGAATCAGCCATAAATACATGTATTACCAATACGTTCAATGGGTATTGCTATCATCCCCCTAATATTTCAACCCATAATGTGGCCCCTAGCTTGGGCAAACCTAAAGTTAAGCATATCCATATGTGGTAGATGATCGCTGCAACAAAAAATCCCCCACCGTCTGCTCCCCTGGCGGACATTCTGCTGCCAGGGATTGAATGGAGCACGAGCGATTGGGTTTGGCAAAGTAGGCGACGGAGAAGCGCTCCGCAAGGATAGCGTTCGGGTCGGCGTCTAGGTCGGACTGCGCAATGTGTACTCGATGGCGCGTGGACCGGAGTTGGCCTTTGGTCCAATGCTGTAGACAGTCTCCCAGGTTCACGATCATCTCATCCAGCGCGGTCGACTCGATCGGTCGATACCGCCCTGGTTGCAGCGGATCTTCGATCTCCAGACCGCCGACTGCGTCTTGAAATAGCAGGGTAATCGTCCCAAAATCTGTATGCTCGGAAATGCGTGTGCAGTTGCCACCGCGAAGCTGCTTCACTGGCACCAGGGGATAGTGTGTCAGCCGCAGCTCATTCTCGGCGCGGCTGTGCCGACCAGTGAGGGTCTTTGGGGCCATCCCAAGCCCGAGTTCGAGCGCAGCCAGAATGCGCTGCTGGCATTGGTATGCAATGCGGTAATACTCCTCCATAAAGCTTCGGAAGCCTGGGAGATCATCTTCAGGCAACCAGATGTTGGCGTAGAGCCGGTCATCTTCCGCCCCTTGGTCAAAACATTCCTGGTCGAAGAGGGCTTTAGTCACAAGGAAGGTCTATATAGCGGGATATTACAGTAGATGGGATCTGCTGCCTACCTTTAGGTCAATCAATGTCACCTTATTTTCCTGGCTTCCATGAATAGACGTATTTTCCAATCCGACGCCGCTGTATCCCCGATTGGGTATCGGGTTGGGGGGATGGGGCGCCTTGGCTTTGATAGCATCGGGGAGGGCAAAGAAGCGTTCACTCTGACCATGTGAGCAGAACTGTACAATTACTGAAAGGGGAAAGCAGAAATACCCATCGAAAAAGCTCTTCGATTGTATGGCGGGGAATTCCGTGGTTGACAAGTTTCAAGAATCCTTGACGACGAAAAGCCTCTGCAATTGCGTTGCCAACGATTTTCTTCTCATCCGCTGAACCGTGATCAAAAGAGTCGAAATCAATGGTAGCAACAGTCGTCTCCATGATGTATATTTTTTAGTTGAGACTACTCCGTATAGGCAGTGTGTTGATTCATCAACCAGCTAGTTATAGATGGATCAGTACCTCGGGAGGGATATCTTTACACTTGAATTTCTTCATACATAATTACCGGGTTTTGAATACACACTTTAAAAAACATTGCTGTATTATATACGCATACGCCATACCGTACGTAAACCGTCTGCGTTCTAAAGTATAGTGACCCTGGCGATCAGGGGCTCGATTCTTTCCATATCGGATGATGCCGGTGAATTCAGTCACGTAATCAGAGTGCGCAAATTATTGTACGGAGTACAATGGCACCATTTATCTTATTGGGTTAATGAAACCGACCTCAATAGCTAGTGCTGACATTAGGGGTAGATCGCCGTCGGAGAAGCGGTGGGGCGCTGGGGCAGATAACCGTCGGAGACGCGGTACGAGGAAAGCTTGGATTCCTTAAAAGCGGGCTTGGCCCCCAAGTTTCATCCGCCCTCCGCCCCGCTATGATACAGATGTTACCAACTCTTGGACTTGCATGGTGGGGGTAGTATATGTACGCGCTCTATTACAGCCTAGCTGTATCATATGATCTCTGTATACTGTGTGTCGAAGTTATGCCCACCACACGCCTATTAAGTGGATCCTCGGAAGGTGGATCGTTACATAGACAGTGTTCAATAATGTTTACAGGACGACATTTAAATTAACACTCAAGCTAAAGCCTAGGACCATAGGATAATGGTGGGGCGTGTGCTCAGTATCCCCGCCGGAAGGAGTCCCAGGAATGCACTCAGAGTCAATCGCGGTCGCTGCCAGAGACCTCCATCGGGATGAATTTCCGATCCTGTCGACTTTACCTCATGCAGATTGCGCGTATTGAACAGATACAGATCCCCGACTGACGGCCGCAAGGTAACAGTGGCGCAGCCCTCTACTGCCTCGCGGAAGTAGCCATACGTTTCTGGGTCCCGGTACCGGAGGAGCTCTTCCTCCCAGATACGATCGTACAGAATCGTTTCGCCATCGATCATCGGAGCAAGATAAAGATTGAACACGGCCTGGTGGGTCACCCGATTGATTATCCAGTCCTCAGTGAGTGAGTCGTAGGGAGACCAGTCGCAGTGGATTGGAGTCGAGTTGTTGATGCTGCGATAGATACCTGCGTGGTAGCGGCGTCCGTCTGGCTCATGAGCCACTCGCACCTCGTGATCTGGTACCAGATCCCGCAGAATTGTTAAAATTCTCTCCCATGCATTGTCGCCTGTTATCTTGGCAATGCGCGCATGTAAGTCGGTCAATTGCGCGACTTGGGTGAAGTATCGATCTTGAGCTGTTGAGATAATTACGTTAGTGTCAGTGCCAATTACCAAAGAGCAAACTACGTAAAAACTAACCATCTGAACCTCGGGATTGAAAGTCCTCGGCTGACTGCGCCTGAAACTCAAATTGGGCGAGACCAACTTTGTCCACGCTGGGGCCCGCTATATGCGAATACGGACGTAGCAACGGATGCAGGTGCTTTTCGAAGCGCTGTGCATGATGCCGATTGACGAACTTGGGAACTCGAATCGCCGCGGTATGACCATGTAACATACTGAGAAAGCCATCGCGCGTCAGCGGCTGCGCCTCGGGCAAGCTCCAGCGATGTGAACCCGTTAGGGCTGGTATAGGTCCCCCTTCAGAGGGGCTAACCTGGGACGCCGCGGGGATGGAAATATTTCGATAATGGATGCGCGCCAGAGGACGTGTGGGGACTAGGGAGCGAGCGATGTAACAACGGGTCAAAGACATGATTTATGACTTAGATTCCAGATTTTGTGACCCAGTCTGCCTGGGGGTTTTAGATCCTTTTACACTTTTCAGCTGGTAAACCCCTCCGGCTACGACAAAGACAAGACGCCACTCCGGGGCCTGAATACCTTACTCGAGGATATGGCGTGAGACCCCATCAATGTTTCACGACACATGGGTCTTCTTCACTCAATACATTACACCCCATAGATAAGCGGGATCATACTGCGTATCCATTAGGTCAATCGATCAGCTCACTGTACACAAAAAGGACCGTGATAAATTGACTATTACATTGTCACCTTCGGAGAATCTTAGGAAAATTCTGATATTGACACTTTGTCCTGTTTAAATGACCGTCACAATGCGCATTCCAGCACCTACTTCTCCACCTTCAAGGCTTCGGATCACCATCATTGGCTGTGGTACCTTGGGTCAGGCTCTAGCCCATGGTGTCGTTAAGCAGCGCCCCGGCAACGTCCGCCTCGATGAGATTGTGCTCACGGGGCGCCGTGGCAGCCACGTGGACGCGCTGCAGTTGCAATTCCCAGAGCTCACGGTGACGGGGGACAACTGCGACCCTTGCATCTGGGACGCCGACGAAGGAGACACACAAAAAGTCCACCTTCTCTTTCTCGGGCCCAAGCCTTACGATATTCCAGCCGCCTGCGCGCAGCTGTACCCGGTCCTTCAGAGACAGAAAGATCGAGGACAGTCACTGCCAGTGATTATCACCTTATGTCCTGGTATCACAATTGCGCAACTGCAGAGCTGGCTTCCTTACGAGACGCCTCTGGTCCGAGCGATGCCCAACACGCCGGTCAAGGTCTCGCAAGGCGCTACTGGCCTCTTCCCCAGCGCAAATGTAAAGCCTCTTGAGATGGAGCTTGTCCAGGCAGTATTTCGCGCCATCTCACCCACTGTTGCAGTTCTGCCCCAAGAGAACCATTTGGACATCGTCGCATCTATTTCCGGGTACATATAATCCAAACTCTAATTTTTGACCCTTCACTGAATCACACGGCAGGTCTGCCCCGGCATACTTCTTTCACCTAATGGACAGCATGATCGAGGCGGCCAAGGGTCTAGGGCTACCGGAGTCTATCTCCACGAGCCTGATCACGCAGTCCTGCATTGGCTCGGGATCTATGGCGCATCTGAGTCCGGGTGTCTCCCTGGCCCAGTTGAAGAATGATGTGTGTGTGCCTGGTGGCAGCACACGTCGTGCAATGGATGTGCTGGACACCAACGATTGGCATCGGCATGTTGAGGATGCAGTACGGGTGAGTTGGAAGGCTAATCGAGCCATGAAAGACGGAACGAAGTAGGCAGGGCACAGTACGATAGCAGTATCTTGGCATTTGACATGGCGATATTCAATAGTGTGATATATGACTTACGGAGCTTTTTCTTCTGACTTTGACCATTCGCAGGATAAACTGGGTTTCAGCACGTACAACGCACCAGCGCTCTAGTTGGAAGGGCTACTGTCTTCTGCATCGGCTTCTTGAACCCTTCGGTTTCCGCTTAAATTTTCACTCGGAACAGCAAAGATAACTACTTCTGTGTTTGAGATAAAAATGGAACTATAGGGGGACCAAGGAAAATCGTAGGAAAGGTACATTAGGCGATTAGTTAAAGACTTGCCTTTTTCCCCGCCGCGAATGCCTATGTGTAGGCTGATAATTAGTCAAGCCCGTTCATAAGACTTGTATGCTATCAGTCGAAGACCTAGTCCAAGTGCAGAAGGTAGGAGCTTCCTATTTCCCCTCCAGGATATCCTTGCCACCAACCGGAGTTCATTCTATGAAGCTAAAAAAGTATCCATTTAGTCTGGGTGAACAGATATGGGGATCTTCTGCAACGCAACCCTGTGGCATAACGCATGTTTCAGTCCTAGTCTGCCGCCAAGCTTCCTTTGTGACAATATGTCGACCTGAAGATCCATTTACCCCTCAGCTTAGCTATAACGAGAAAGTGGTGTTCACAGGTGAGCCTATCGCCGGGCTGTCTATAAGCCCTACCCCACCCACTTGCCAGACCTTCGGGGAATTTGACCCCTGTCTGCCGGGGATACCCCTGGGACCGGGTCGGGTCATACATTACATACATATGTAAGATTAACTAGTAAGCTGCTACAGTGCATTTTACGTAAGTATACACGCTAGGTAAAAAGAACCGTAATATAAACGTATCATTTGGCGTTTTAATACGGCTTGTAACTTACCACTATGTATTTTAGAATATATCGATATTCGTACGCTCACTGCATGGCATGCATGGTATCCATAGTAGACTTTAGCAGGTATTGTACTATTGACCATCGACACCAGATAAGTCATCTTGATTCAACAGCTGATACCTCTGAAAGCGGAGCCTGAGCTGAAATATATTACTGTAAAATGCATCCCCAATGTGGCCAGCGAGATCGGCGGTGGCTGTTTACCTCAATCTTTGCGCCGATAACCACAGTGAGATAAATTGATCAAATCCTCATGGCCAACCCCTCTTGTGGATCGACATCACTATCGAATAGGAGTGCGTGTGATATAGCTGTATTCTTTTTATCCAAATAGCCCGCCTACGAAGAGGTCCCTAGCTTAGTTTCTTCTTCCGATCTTCAACCACATCCTGCAGCATCGTCTCCTTCCTATCACACTCTACACTTACCCAAACTATGCTGCCTATTGCCACAGCCTTCGATGGCGTGGCCAATTCTTCCTCTGAAGCCATTGCGGTTCAATTTGAGGAAACTCAATTCTGGACGTATGCGCAGCTTCAAAAGGCATCCCGCCAGATTGCCCAAGGCTTGGATGCACACGTCGGCCCTGGTCAATCCGTCGCAGTGCTCCTGCCTCGGTCCCCAACTCAGATTGCAGCAATCATTGCAATTCTTCGACTAGGGGCAGTATACGTTCCCATAAATATGGATCTCCCTCAGGGCCGGATCGAACAGCTCTTGGCCCAATTGACAGACCCTTTGGTGCTCTGTCTGCACGGACAAAAGCCACCTGTTCTACAGGACGTGAACCAAGCCTGGCTGGCCGTCAACAGTCAGGAGAAAAGCATCAATGTCATTTGCAATAAGATTGCCAGTCGAGATTTACAAGAGATTCGAAGGGAAGTCCATGTCGAAGACGTAGCTGCAGTTTTGTTTACATCAGGGAGTACCGGCCTGCCTAAAGGCGTCTGGCTCACCCACCAGAATCTGCTATGGCCAGCGCAGACAGTGGCCAGACAGATGCAGATCACACCCGCGTCACGGATGCTGCAATTCTCGCAGTGCTCCTTTGATGCGCACCTGATTGATATTCTCAGCACTATCCTGTACGGTGGCTGTTTGCTACAGGTCTCCCAGGACAATGTAATGAGTGATCTTACCGGCTGGATCCGGCGAATGAATCCCAACACGGCACACTTTACTCCCAGTACGATCTTGCTTTTGGATCCACTTCGGGTTCCTTCGATCAAGAGATTGGTTGTTTCAGGGGAGCAGGTCTCGCGAGATCTCGTCGACCGTTGGGCAAACAGGGTTCACCTGGTGAACTTGTATGGTAAGGAATTTACTCACCCCCAGAAGTAAATATAGAGCCCGTGCTAAGACTGTGCAGGACCATGTGAAGCATCATCAATCACTTTCAAAATCCTTCATTCTGGCGATGATTTCAATTCTGTGGGGAAGGCGGCGAGCTATGCTTCCATTGCCATTGTGGACGCAGCAGGCATCGAACAGTCGGCAGGAGTCCCGGGAGAGCTCGCTGTTAAGGGTGAAACAGTTTTCCAGGGATACTGTAACTTTGCTTCACATGACCGTTTTCTGGGCACAGTTCAGCGCCTAAACGGCCCTGATCGTGGCCCGTGGTACTTGACAGGCGACCGCGCATATGTGGACCAAAGTGGTGAATTTCACCTCCTTGGCCGCGATGACGACCAAGTTAAAATCAATGGCCAGGTAAGCAAGATTTCTCCCATACCTGACTGGTCATATTCCCAGTGTTTGTAGAAGGGTCTCCTGTGTAGTGAAAGTTCCTCTCATACAACTATATTGCCCCTTTCAACACCCCCAACCCGGTTTTAAAACCCCTTTCAAACTCCCTCTCAACATGCCTTAGGAAGAACTTATTGCTAATTGGTATAATAACCAGAGAGTGGAGCTTGGTGAGATTGAACATGCCATCCAGCACCACGTTGGCCGTGTTATTGTGCGAGCGCACCGCGTTGACGGTCACACACGTCTGTTCGCCCTCGTGTCTACTGCGAAGACTCTTGGAGCGCCAGACAAGGAGATTGAACTGGAAAAAGAAGCACATGGGTTGCAGAAAACCGTCGTTGCAGTGTGCCGGGGCCTCTTCCCGGCATACATGGTTCCCCGAGTGCTAGTCGTCGAGGCCTTGCCGCAGTCGCGCAATGGAAAGATCGATTTGCAAAAAATAAAGCTTTTCCTCGCGCAACTGTACGAGAATGATCAGGAACCAAAGCTCACTATGCAGCAACTAGACGAGATGGAAGACCGAATCCAGCGTTTGGTCTATCAGCGCCTTTTGCAGCACGTCCCCAAAAATGATAGCCTGTTCGATTGGGGATTCAGCTCGTTGGACGCTATGTTTCTCGCTCAGTTACTCTTCGATACTACCGGTTGCCAAATATCGTTTCGTCAGATTCTTGAAGCTCCTCGAATCATAGATATCGCCAGATTCTGTCGGGGAGGGTCATCAATGGCTGCTGCCCCTCCTCTCCCACTTCTTTGCCCAGCTGGGAAGTGCTTCACACCCACTATCGGTCAGGAAAGCATGTTGAATGCGTGCATGGTGTTTGGAAACCAGATGCATATATTGACCTTTGCCTATGAGATTGAATCTACCGAGCTTGATCCCTCTTTGCTATTAAAGTGTGTGCAGACGATCTACGACCGCCACGAGGCATTTAATACAACATATGAACACGACTTTGCTGTGTTGCCGAGTGCCCAGGCTCGTGTTAATGCCCAAGGATCGCTGCCAAATCGGACTGTGTTTCACCCGTGGACGAAGAGCGAGAATTGCACCGAAGATGCGAAGAAGGTAGAAATCTTCCGCAGAGAGCTCAATCGTGACGCCGACATGGATTTAATGGAGGATTCACCCGCATGGACGGCACTGCATCAGCTGACACAACGCGGAGAAAAATGGCTGGTTGTCTTCAAGTTCCATCATTTAGTGATAGATGAGCTATCATTTGATATTTTCCTGTCCGAGGTGCAGGAGCTCTACAGTAGTGGATGCAAAAAGCAGCTTCCGCCTCCTGCGACCCAATATAGCCAGTTCGCCCAGGTTCATCGCAAGGATACCGAGGAGAAAGCAGCCCGGGACCTATCATGGTGGAATTCTCTAGGCAAAAGCTTACGCCCATCTAATCTATTTGCAGAGCACCATGGCATGTCAGGGTCGTTGCTGTCTCTGGCGAGCGATATCTACTGGCACGACCTCCATGATTCCGATGTCACAAATTTGCTGAAACACTCGGGAAATGGCACAAGTATGTTTATCAGTTGGCTTGGGTTCACACAGGTGTTTCTGAGTCGCATGACCGGGAAAGAGCAGTATCTTCTGGGAGTCCCTACCTCCCATCGTACCATCGATCGCCGTTTCACCACTGTTGTTGGATACTGCGTGTCGCTGATTGTGGTACCCGTGTTAGTAAAGCCTAAAAAGACCATCACTCAGCATATCGCCGAGATGTCAAAACTCTACTGGGAGTGTGTGGAACATCAGCAGTCAGTTGAGGATGTCTTGCGTTGTTTTGCAGCAACAGAAGGTGGTAGTCAGCACGCAGGCTTAAATGTTCAATTTGCGTTCCATGAAAGAAACGTCACGCAATCCGTTAGTGACGGTGTGTCCCTCCCGTGGCAGGAAGTGCAAGCGCCATCAAGAGGAAGCCACTATGATCTGATCATCCATATTGATTCCTCCTCTCATCCTCGCAGGGTAGGATTCGAGTATCGCACCGAGGTGTTGAACAAGAGCGCCATTATTGACTGGGCTGCCGCATTTGAGCAACTTCTTGGTAGCATTGATACTGCGGTCGACCCCAGGGTTTCAGAAGATCCATTGACAGGGATCACAGAAGCGCAGAACGTTCTCAGTCCCACCTTGAGCAGGCCTATCGAGATAAGAACGTCCGAAAGCCAGGTCATCCCGGCGACTAGGCTGGATTTGTCGGTGACAAACGCTGGACTTGACGCAGCTACAATTCATGATGCTTTACAGAGAGCCTCTATTGTCGACAGCGATGTTGAGTACATATATGCCCCGTCTGCAATGCAACTTTCCATGCTCTTACAAGCATCGCTGAGTCCCAGCACTTATAACTTGACGCTGGCGCTGCACCTCGAAGGGCGGGTAGACGTCCAACAGCTACGAAATGCCTGGTACAAGGTCGTGACCGCGCATCCTGCACTGAGAACTATATTCCACGGAATTGACCATGAAAGTCTTCCTTACGTCGGCGTCGAACTGAAGCCTGGTATTCGTGTCCCAGTTTTCAATTTTGTCGATCAATCGGCAATGACATTTAGCGAATTGAGCACTCTACTCGACAGCGAGCAGAACGCGTTACACAAAACTCGCAACGGTCTTCTTCATCGGTTTTTGCTTGTTCGCGCGACCGATGACCAGTACAATCTAGTCTTGACGATGCACCACGCCATCATCGACGGCTGGAGCCTGCGCAGACTGATGGCCGATCTCCGCACAGCTTATGCCAACGAGAAGGTCGTTGCAGGTATCTCTATTTCCACTCTTCTTGCAGAAAAGACTGGTCTTGACAAAAATTTGGCACGCATCTTCTGGAGCCAATACCTTGCGACTGCGAAGGGACCAGACGTGGTAAAATCTGATGTCGATGCCGGTGACCAATTGACACCTGATATAAAGATTATTCAGCCTCGACGGCCTTCGCGTATCACTCCGAGTGCCTTGAGTGGTGTCAGTAGGAAGTTCGGCGTCACGTCCTTCACCGTTGTACAGGCTCTTCTTGGTTTGGTTTTACCCCGGACAAATCAGACAAAATCAACAATCTTCTGGACCACAAGCAGCGGAAGAGCCGATCTCACTGGTGACGTTGATGCCATTGGAAATTTCTTAACTTCAATTCCATGCGTGGTGAATGTCGAAGACGACGTGTCGATTGAGTCATGGCTGAAACAGACCCAGAAAGGCTTCCAGAAGAGCCTTGAGTACGATTATTTGCCTACACCAGACATTCTCAAATGTCTACCGGAGACTCAAACGCAGGTTCACACGCTGATAATATTCGAGAATCACCCTGGTGAAGGGCTTGAAGGACTCGCGGAAGATATTCGCATCACCAAAGTCGAGGGTCAGGAATACTCAGATGTGCCGCTCACCATCATTGTCCAGCCAAATGAGGAATCTGTTACTCTGACAGCCAAAGTTGATCAGAATCGAGTTCATTCCGGTCTCGCGCAACGCATTTTGGACCGCCTGCAAGGAGCCTGCGAGGAGCTCTGCTCTGCTGTCACAACTTGCCATACAACCCAATCACTGGCTGCGCACAGCAATGAATATCTGGAAAAGTCTGCTGCCCTGTCACAAAATCTGGAAATTCGGCAGCAGCCTTCGTCTTCCGAACATCTTGTATCGCTGTTCATAGAAGCGGCAAAGCGATACCCTGATTGCCTCGCTCTCTCCACTGTCTCGTCACAGATTACGTTCGCAGAGCTGAACTATTTGACAGCAAAGGTAGCGAGGAAGCTAATCCAGACCTCCGGTAACCGGCCGGGGGTCGTTACATTGTTCTTGGACCGTGGCATAACGATGATCATTGCCATGATTGCAGCGCTCAGAGCCGGTATGACCTACTGCCCATTGGAATATGACGCACCGTCCGCTCGTTTGGACAAGCAGACCCGGCAGATAAATGCTTCCTTGGTAATTAGTGACCACAGGGGATTCTCTCGACTTGGCACGGGCTTCTATCAAGGACTGCAAACACTGGACATTGACCAAGCCCTGCAAAGCCCCGTCAATGACCTATCCGTTATCTTGCCAGTCGTTTCTTCCGAGTCTTTGGCCTATATAATGTTCACTTCGGGTACCACGAGCGAACCAAAGGCCTGCACTCTCTCCCATAGAGCCGTCGCCCAATATGTGCGACAGGCCATTGTACACTATGGTTTCAAACCCGGATCACGCGTACTACTTTGCGCGAACTACGTCTTTGATGCCTCAGTGACAGACATCTTTGGTTGTCTCACCTCCGGAGCGACACTCTGTCAGGTGCCCGAGGATAGTCTGCGAAGTGACCTTGCCATGTGTATCAACACCCTTCGGATCGACTCACTTCATGTTACGCCGTCAATGTTAGGCCTGCTGACGCCTAGCTCTGTCCTAACTCTGCGTACTGTCATATTAGGCGGGGAAATCATCTCGCCTGACCTTGTGGAGCAGTGGGCGGAATGTGTGGACTTGTACGGCTCCTACGGCCCAACCGAGACCGCAGTTCAGGTTCTCATTCACTGCGCACGCAAAGGAACCTGCATTGCATATGATGCCCTACCCGGCAATCTTGTCATTTTGGTCAACAGAGACGGCGAGGTCTGCTATGCAGATGAACCCGGAGAAGTCTTGATAGCGGGTAACCAATTGTTTGAGGGTTACTATGGCAATAAGACCGCCACAGAGGGTGCTATAACGCGTTTACCCGCGTTTGGAAACACCCGATTCTACCGAACAGGCGACTTGGGCGTCTATACTCCAGAGTTGCGAATCCGCATCCTTGGGAGACACGATCATCAGCTGAAGGTCTCAGGTGTACGTATAAATCCAGATGAAGTGGAAAGTGTGCTGCGGCTACATCCCACCGTCCATCGCGCAGTGGTCACCGTCGTGAACGGCCGTCTTCAGGCTGCGGTCGAGGCTCACGAACCAAAGCACGATCTAGAAACAATGGAAATAATGGAGTTCTGCAAGATCCATCTCCCTGAGCGCCTCGTACCTATCGTGAGCCAGGTTAACGAGATACCGACCCTCCCGAGTATGAAAGTCGATAGACGAGCCGCTGCCCAGATACTGATGCAAGCGTCAGTGGGAGTGGGCAGCCCGACATCAGGCTCGCTATCTCCAAACGAGAAACTGATTGCTGGACTTGTGAAAGAAATCACCGGCAATGATGTCTCTAGTGCTCACGTACCCCTCCAACAACTTGGACTGGACTCTCTTGGGCTAATGCGACTTCGTGGCGCACTAGCAAAGCAGTATAATATCTCTCTCACGTACGTCAAATTACGCCGCGCACGAACACTGAATGGCATCGCCGCGTTATTGCAGCCAGCAACCTGTGGCGAGAGTATTGTGCCAAGCTGTCCCACTCTAGAACATCAATCTATCGCTCTCGGGTCATATCCAGCTCTGCGCAGTCAGGTTACCATGTGGTTGGCTCAAGAGCGCCTTCAGGATGCTACCTATAACGTGGAGCGTACCATTGAGTTGAGTGGTTTATCAGGAGCGGCCGTGCTCGCCGGCGTCATGGCAGTGACCTCCCAGCTCGAAATGTTCCGAACAGCATTTGCTCACAATAAAGCCCAGGGGAAAGTTTTGCAGATCCTTGGACACCAGGTATTGATTGAGGCCCATTACCACACCCTTAGTGCGGAAAAAGATGCGATGCAGCAAGTGAAAGAAATCTTGGCTGGGTCGTCATCGCGAGCGCTTGATCTACACCGCGGGCCACTTTCGATTTTCCATGTATTCTCTGAGTCAGAGAACAGAAGTTACCTGTCAACAACGATCCATCATATTCTCCTTGACGCCTACACAGCTGCAGAAGTGACGATGCTGATTGTAAAAGCGTCTCGGGGGGAACTTGTTGTTAACCATAACGACAACACAGCTTCTTATGCGAAGCGCCTGACAGAGGCTGGGAACAGCCAAGCTGACCAGAATCGCAGACTGGAGAACTGGCTGGCAATGCTGCAGGGAGCCTTGCCCTTCGTTCCGGCCCGTCCAGCTCTCACCAACGGGGCAGGATTCCAGTCCGTGCGCCGAAGAAGCTTCCTTGGACCTAGCTGGCACGGTGAGATTTCATTCGATATCCTGCTAGCTTTGTTCCTGGCTCTTATGCACCGCTATTCTGGCTCAGGCGATGTATTGGTGACTACTCCAGTGTCGGAACGAGGATATGCGCCTGGAGCATCGACCGTGCTAGGCAATCTCACACATACAGCCTTTTTGCGAAGTCGGCTCTCAGGCCAAGACAGCTTTAATGAGTTGTTGACAAGGACCCAGGCCAGCATCGAGTTTGCCATGGAGAACATTGTTCCTCTAGAATCCGTTTTCTCCCAGGCCGGGCGGAAGTTAGACGATCATTCTGTTCAGTTCGTCACCCATGACAATCGTCCGTTTGAACAAAAGGGGATGGTTGATAGAACCCTCGATGTGGTTGATCAAAGCAGGCCTATGTTTGACTTGATGTGGCATGTATTCATCCATGAAGATGCGATGGAGATTCTGGTTGAATATAACACTGAACGGCATCATGGTGCCTGGATGCATTCAGCTATTGACGGCTACGCCACATTGGTGTCAACAATTGCTAACAAGAAAAATCAACCCGTGAACAGCCTACTCAACGACATACTGCCACCTCCTTGGGTTGTGCCTGAAAGAGTCACGTTTTCACAAGCAGAAACCATGTCAACAAGCTCAAATTCAATCAAAATGAGTCCTGATCCAAGTTCTCCAGACGTTGGCGATCATTCAGAGAAACTACAACTCAATAAAAAGGAGCTGCCACAAGCAGATGGCTTGGATTCGCTTGCGACATCGTTGGTACTGTCTACAAAGTGCAACACGCCATCCAACGATAGCACGGCAGATGAAGAGGTTGATTCTGCTTCCTTGTCATTACAAGAGCTGAAGGACGCCATGAGCCATGCTATCTGCAAATCTCTGGGGATTACGACAGTGGACCCAGACCGAAATCTCCGGGAACTTGGCTTAGACTCATTTGCCTCTATGGCGTTCATTTCCCATATGTACAACTTCTATCCAGAACTTGAGATCGGTATCCACGACATCGTCCAGTATCCCACCATTTCTGACCTCGCAAACTACGCATTGCAGATCCAAGCCAATGACAGCCCACTTGATCCAAACATGCAGGACCATGAATACTTGGTGGTTTCTCCATCTGCCTCAAATGAGGAGGGCGTAAAGGTCGCGCAGGCCAGTTCCATCCAGCGCCGGTTTTTCCTATTGCAGGAACAGCTTGGAGACACTACTTATATTGTTCCTTTGCTGTATCTGGTTGTAAGTCAGGATCTGAGCAAGGTTTTAGATGCAGTACAGAAAATCGCGCAGCACCACGAGATCTTCCGCACCACATTCGACCTCGAGGGCGACACTGTTGTGCAAAAGGTCGCCTCTTATGCTCGGTATAGCTTTGAGGTTGACGATTTGAGGCACAGAGGAAATATCGATGAAGCAAAACTTGCAATGCGGCAAGTGTGCGCTGGGATCTGTGGGCAGGAATTCGACCTCACGATGGGGCCACTTCTCCGCTGCCGGGGCTTTATCCTCCCAGATGGTCAGCAATATGTGTTCCTGAACTTCCACCATATAATCGCAGATGAGCAATCTGTCTCCTGCTTTGTGAGACATGTCGAGATGATTGTAAAGAAAAAGGGACCGATTGACACTATTGTTCCATCCACCTCGTACCTGGACTTTTCGGAGCGTCACAATCGGGCTCTCCAGCCGGATCACATTTCATCGGCGCGGAAGTGGTGGACGGAGCAGATGAGGTCACAGCCACTCAAAGCCTGGTCAACATCGCATGAGAGCCAAACTGAGCAGTTTGCCCCGGCAAAGCATGTTCGCCATATAGCCTCCTTTGACTTTGATCCCGCAAGCTGGGCATACTCGTGTGGAGCTACTCCATTCGGTACATACCTCTTCACTTTGCAGCTACTTTTGACTCTACGCTCCGGCTCCCGAGGCAGTACAATCTTGATCCCTGCTACCAGTCGGTCTCCACGATTTGGCGAACAAGAAATGTATGGATGTTTCGTCAACACTTTGCCCGTGCCGATGATAGCGGAGACCGATACAACGGCAATGGAAAGCCTGATGGCGTTCAACCCGACCTTGTTTAAGATCTTAGGATTCTCCAATCTCCCATTCGAGAATATTATGGAGTTCAATGGGCACAAGATGGGTGACTTTGACATGATGTTTGTTTATCATGAGGATCAAAAAGTTAAGAACGAAGCCTCCATGCTTCAACCGGCGATGGATCTCATGCCAGCGCTTCCCGGAATCACGGCCAAGTTCCCTATAACCTTTTCCATGACTCGATGTGTGAACAACGGATCGACCACGTTGAAAATGTATGTTGAGCACAACCCAAATTTAGTGAGCAGCGACGAGGCAGCCACAGTGTGCCAGCAATTTGAAGATGTTCTGAGACTGCTCACCCTTCGACAAGGAGATCTCTCTCTTGATGTGATTAGACAAACCCTTGATCATGGCCCTGTTGTGCCATACAGTTTCCATGGGAAGTGGGACCGTCACATCTTGGATGACCCCCTTTCGGACATTCAGATTATGCAACAGGCCAAGAAGACCCCGGAAACCACCGCCATTGTTTTTGAGGACTCTGCTTCAGTCACATACCGAGAGCTGGTTGAGATGGTTCATGGCGTCGCGCATTTCCTTTGCTCGCAGGTTCCAGCCTCCGAGCTGCACCGCCAGAACGTTTGCATTGTAGGAGACGTCTCTATTGCACGGATAGTTGCCATCTTGGCAATCATGAGCATCGGCGCTGCGTATATTCCACTTGATATGAAGAATCCTCTTGAGTGGAATGCCACGATCATCCGCGACTGCAACCCCAAGTGCATTCTTTTCTTGCCAGAAGAAAGCGGAAGCGCCAGAGCGGAGGCATCTAATAGCCTCAGGGCCTATCTTCCTACAATCTCAAGCTCGATCCACGGCATTGGCATCACCACCCCATTACCCAAAGCTACAAACCCAGCTATCGACATGCAAAGAAGATCTGAGATGGACCTAGCGTACGTTTTGTATACCAGCGGATCAACCGGTGTCCCTAAGGGCGTTGCCATCGAACACCGAGCCCTAAAGAATTCGGTACATGAACACGTGAAGCTCTATCATCTATCCGCGGAGATTCGACTGCTGGCATTGGCACCCTGGACATTTGATGTCTCGCTCATGGACCTTTTCGGCCCACTAGTGGTGGGGGCTACAATGTGCATTGGACGGAACGACTATGTCTTCTCGGATATCGAGGAAGTTGCGACTGAGATGAGTATCACGCATATCTCCACAACTCCGACAGTGGCTGCTCTCTTACGACCATCGCATCTTCCTTCCGTCCGCATGCTGGCAATCGGTGGCGAACCCTTGACAGCAGTGGTGCGCGATACCTGGGCCGAAAAAGTGACTCTCATGAACGTGTATGGCCCAACCGAAGCTACTGTAGATGTGGTCTGCCGCCAGGTCGCACGAGATACCTCGCCCAAGAACATCGGATGGCCGTTGACCAACGTTTTTGTATTTATCGTCAACGAGGAAATGCAGCAGGTTTCCGTCGGCGAAGTTGGGCAACTTGCTGTTTCAGGACCGCAGGTGGCCCGTGGTTACATTCGTGAGCCCCAGGGCAAGCCCTCCCCATTCGTGAACCATCCACTCTATGGACGTCTTTACCTGACAGGCGATTACGCTCAATTCGAGCCTGACGGAAGTGTGATCTGTCTTGGACGGATGGACACGATGGTTAACCTTCGGGGATTGCGGATCGAGCTAGGTGCGATTGAGCAGGTCGTGGATAAGGTTCTTGATACCGGGAAGTGCGTGACGCTCAAGATCGAACGGGATGGTCAAGAAGCGCTGGTTGCAATTTTCACGAACAAGAATGAGCAGTCGGAGATCGAACTTTTGCCTCGACCCGTAGGACAAGAGTTAGCCCGGTTGTTTGAATTTGCACGAGCTCTTTCAAACAAGCTCCCGAGCTATTTCATGCCTACATACTGGATTCCTGTCACAGGTTTCCCGCGGAACAAGAGTCAGAAGTTGGATCGCAAGGCGATTCAGAAGTATATTGACGCAATGCCCAGCAATGTCCTTTCACAATACCGCTGGGATCAGTCGGAACCTAAGGAAGCTCAAAAGCTGGAAACAACCCCGAAGGTTGAGCATACAACGTTGGTGATGACCTCCAACGACAGCCTCACACCCAGCCAGGAAACTATTCGCCAGGCCTTTAGCAGCGTCCTGGGAGACAAGGCATATACCCCTGGCAGTAACTTCTTCTCTCTCGGTGGAGATTCTATCTCAGCTATTCGACTCTGCAGTGCTCTGCGAGCTAAGGGAGCACAAGTCAAAGTCCGGGAACTGTACGAGAGACCGACAATTGAGAAACTTGCTGTTCTGGTCGAGCAACGAATGCCTGAAAAGCAGGGAAGCATCCAGCCTGCCAACAGTCCCCCTAAAGTACAAACATCGTCCGTCAACTCTGAGGTGGAGCGGATAATCATTGACGCAATGTACAAAGTCCTGAGCGCCCAAGATGTCAAAGTCGACAGTAACTTCTTTACTCTTGGAGGAGATTCAATCTCAGCTATTCGCTTCAGCACCACCTTACGTAGCGCTGGATTTTCGGTCAAGGTCAGGGACATTTACGAAACACCGACGGCGCGGCTTCTTGCTACTAAGCTAAGCCCATCCCGATCCTCCTTTAGGGCGTCTCAGCCTTCGCACGTCTCTGCTGCCACGCCCATTCCTCCACCTCCCGAGCCTACAGTGGCCACGCAAATCTCTTTGAAAAGTCCTGGTTCGGCGCCCGAACTTGTCACCGTCGTCTGCGCTGCGTTCCGCAAGGTCCTGGGGGGCCGGTCGATGGAAGATCAAAGTAACTTTTTCACTTTGGGTGGAGACTCGATCTCAGCTATCCGGTGCTGTACTGCACTTCGCAGCTCCGGATTTACGGTCAAAGTCCGTGACATATATGAGAATCCAACCGTAACAGCATTGGCGTCCCTCCTAGCCCAGCGAGGCCCGAAGCCGGAGCAGCAAAGTCCCAGCCATGTGAGCAACGCCTCTCTCCTTCGAAACACTCCCATAGTGGAGTGGTTTTTCCGCTCAGCTCGTGCTAATGAAAACTGGTTCAACCAAGGACATGTAATCCAACTCGCAGATCCACACCGGTTTACCGATCTGGAGAGGGCCTGGCAGACCTTGACTAGCCTTCACCCGATGCTCCGAGCCCGGGTTGTGGGTGAGGGCTCAGAGAAGTCGATAGCCGTTCCAAACTCGTCAAATCCCCAGGACTACTGCGTTCTGCGGCGCAATATGAACTCTTGGGAGGAGTTCCGCCAGGCAGCGCAGGAGCTGCAGTCCCGTCTCAATATACGCAAGGGACCCATCTGTGGCCTGGGTGATTTCACGGTCGAGTCAACTGTGTATGCTGTGATTGTGATAAATCACTTGGCCGTAGACGTGGTGTCCTGGCATATTATATGGCATGACCTTGATTGCCTGTTGCAGGGAATTCGCCCAGAGGACGAATTCAATACGTTTAAGGATTGGAGTGACCACCTTGCTACTCGTTCCACCAAGAAACGTCTTCTAGATTGTCCGGCCTCGGAAGCCGGCAATGATTTCTTTGATATCGATGCCGTGGCTTTGCAGAAAAATACGGGCAGCTCGGTGCACTTTGCCAGCCTCAAGTCCCCGGCCGAAATTGTGGAGCTTGCCACCAAAGTACACGATGTTGAAGTGGTGGACATTATTCTTGCGGCTTTGCTTCTAGCTATACGGAGATGGAAATCGGCCACCCGTGTCGAGCTCAATTTTGAGAGTCATGGAAGAGAGTTGAACCATGAAACGCTCGACGTAACACGCACTGTGGGCTGGTTCACCTATATTATTCCAATCTCATTCTCCCTGTTACCGGATACCGCTGGCAGAGATTTCGTCAAGCAGGTGCGTGAACATCGGATCAACGCGGTGCGCCAAATCGACTGCGCTGCACCGATACCCGACCAAGTACAGACGCATCCCTGCACATTCAACTATCTGGGATATACAACTAGCTCCTCGTCTTACGCATCATTCAAGAAGGTGCGCGCTGACATTGGGCCACTGGAGGATCCTCGTAATCGCAGATGCTTCACCATCGACTTCGAGGCGGCTGTCAGTAACAACCTGTTAACTGTCGGTGCGTTCTTCAGTACGGAGCTTTTCAGTCGAGAGAGTTTGACCCAGCTACTGGAATTTTGGACTGCGGATATCCGGGATCTGAGCACTAACGACAGTTCATGTACCCCTGTTGCGTCAGTCGAATCCGTGATCCCCATGGACGCAGCACTTGAAAGTGACCGTCCAGCCATTGAAGCTTCTCTGGGGTCACATCGCATACCGGCAAAAAGTGTAGAAGAAGTACTGCCCGCAACAGACATGCAGACCGCCATGATGCTTGCTAGTTTGGGATCTCGGTCATACATGCATCGGTACGACTACGTGTTGGAGGTTCAAGACTTGGACCGGTTTTGCCGTGCGTGGGAAGAAGTATTTATCAATCGTCATTCCATTTTCCGCACGGTTCTTATCCCCATCTCTCGCCCAGGGAGTACGACAATGGCCCAGGTGGTCCTGCAGAAAGAGACAGTGGTTGGCAGACTCCTTGTTCGGGAAGAACCACCTAAGACGCAACGCGCTATGACTGGCCAACTTCTTTCCGTACTGTATGTTTTCAAGTCTTCAGCTGGGAGCCTCAATGCATCCTGGGTTTGTCATCATGCTTTAATGGATGGGTGGTCCCGACGACTCGTGTTCGACGAGGTACGTCGTTTATATGCCGGGCACACGCTGTCCTCGCCTCCAGCTCAGTTCCGTGATCTTGTATTCCATCTTCAATCTCAGAAGGAGCAGAACGATCAATTTTGGAGTCGCTTCATTGAGAATGCGCAGCCATCACTTCTGGTCGAGCATGGTGCAGATGAGCGTCTCTCGGTGAGACAGCCTAAGAGCCGACAGTACCGCATAAGAATCAATGTCGATCCAGAGGATATGCAAGCTGTGGCCCGGGATCACTGCACCACTATATCCGCGCTGTATCAAGCATCTTGGGGATTGACTTTGGCTGTCTATCTTTCCTCGGCAGACGTGACATTTGGTCTTATTAATGCGGGCAGGAGCCTTGATCTAGACGGTATACATGCCATAGTCGGCCCCTGTCTCAACAACACTCCAATGCGGATACAAGTGAATTGGACGGACAAGATGTCCCAATATATCGAGCAGGTTTCAGAGGTATCCATGGAGCGGAGTCAGTACGAAGGACTCTCACTTCGTCAAATCTATGCAGCGTCTGGTCAAAGTGATCTTTTCAATACTACGCTTCTCGTGCCATTTTCACCTCTTGCTGTGGCAAGCTCTTCAAACCCAACAGGCCCATCCTCTTCTTTCAAAATGGAGCTCCAATCACGGGATGAGGTGACAGACTTACCTCTGCTTATGAGCGTTGAACAAGGGGTCAGTGTGGCCAAAACCACAGTCCTGACACTACGCACCAACAGCAGGCAATTCAGTCAAACATTCTGTGAACGACTCCTATATAGCTTCGGAAAGTCTCTGGAATACGTTTCTTCTCTTGCACGAGGGATTGATTGTACGCTCTCCGATATTTCGCTTCTGGATGAGAATCATTCTCAGATTCTTGATCGGCACGCGCGCGGCGGTGTCTTTCCCGATCAATACGCATGGACGTCCTATCAACTTTTGAGTTACAGGGTGCAACAGACTCCCCAAAGCCTTGCCGTAGAATATCATCAGCGTGGCCAGACAAAAACCTTGACATATGAACAACTCGAAACACAGGTTCAGATGGTGGCCGCTCATCTTGCGGCGGCTGGTATCGAGCACAGGACAAGGATTGCGCTATTCTTGGACAAATCTATCGAGCTAGTGGTGTCTATATTTGCTGCCCACTGTCTAGATTGTGCGTACGTCCCATTGGATATCGAGAGTCCGGCAGCGAGCATCACCACTCTTATTGAGCAAACCGACCCCTCCGCTATTATCACAACACCAAATCTGCGAGCCAGCTTGCCAAATAACCTGGTTCCTGTCTTCACAACGGACACGCTCTTCAGTCCTCAAAAGTCTATTTCCCTCTCCCGTCGAAGCCAGAATGCTGGGCTTGACGATCTTGCAGCTGTGTTATTCACAAGTGGCACCACTGGAACACCCAAAGGTGTCTCTATGCCTCATCGTCAGATTGTCGGATACGGCATTATGATGGCCCAGGCAGTCGGGTATACAACAACCGATCGAATTTTCTGGTTTGCAAGACCAGTCTTTGATGTTTCTCAGAGCGACCTTTTCGGCTCTGTATTCGCTGGAGCAACTCTTGTTATCACCCCGCATGCTGACGCCATGGCCCGCCTCGCCCCGTTGCTGGCCCAACTACAAATTACTTCAACTAGTGTCACTCCATCAATCGCCTCGCTACTCCGACCGCAGAATTTGCCACTAATTCGTTCACTATTTCTCGCTGGTGAGATGGCCTCGCAAGAGGTTATCCGGCGCTGGTCGTCGACGGTTCGTGTCATCAACGGTTATGGGCCCACCGAAGGCGTGGTGGTGGCGTGGAAACATATGAAGCCCGACACAAGTCCTCACTGTATTGGTCGTACGGCAATTGGTATGGATGTTTTTGTGTTGGATGCTCACATGCGTCAAGCTCCCATCGGCGTGCGCGGCACAATCTGGATCGCAGGAAGGCAATTGTCCCAGGGATACTTCGGTCAGCCCGGCGTGACAGACCAAGTCTTCCGGCCGAATATATTTGGGCATGGACTAATTTACAACACCGGTAAGAATCATTTTCTTATCCTGCTCCGTAACCTAGCCAGGTTACATCGTACCGATCGTGGCTAGTTCAAGACAAAGGTGGCTAACGAATCTTTCTTGTACGCGCGCAGGTGACATTGGCGTCTGGAGCCATGCTGGCGAGTTACTCTATCTATCTCGGGAGGACCGCCAGGTAAAAATCAACGGACGACGCGTAGAATTGGCTGAGATCGAAAGTTCCCTCTCTACTGATAGCGTTCAAGTGGCCGTTTTGCTTCTCAATACGGCAGGGGATCGGAAAGAATTGGTCGCCTTCTTCGCGCAAGAAGAGGACCCCCAAAAGAATCATTCTGTCGTGGAGGCAGAGCTGTCAGCGCAAGCTAACCGTTATCTACCACCTCACATGGTGCCTCGGCGCTTTATTTCCATCCCTCACCTGCCATTGAACGGGAATGCTAAGATTGATACAAAAAGACTCGAGCAGGATTACCTAAATGGATCTCTTCCATATGCAAAAGCCATAACCACAAAGACAGCCCGCATAAGCGAGGACCCGATTTTTCCGAAAATCACCATGACAGATGAGGAACTAGATGGGCGTCTTTCCGAAGCGTTTATTCATTTCCCTCCAGCGCTGAGCGCCGAAAACAAAACGGCAGTAGAGACATCCAAGCGACCTACCATGTTTCTCTTCTTCGCCGTGACAGGCACGTCTGTCCAATACCGTTTGCTAGCACAGCGTCTACCCACCTACCGGGTCATCGGCGTGGATCATCTCCGCCCGAATCAGCCTGAAGCATATCCGTCAATTACCAGTATGGCGGCCGATCTCGCGGCAATTCTGCGCAGACAACAACCACGAGGCCCATACAATCTGGGTGGCTTTTCATTTGGGGGGCTTGTTGCCTGGGCTGTCGCAAAATATCTCGAGCAACACGGCGAGACTGTACGTCTGATTTTGATTGATAGCGAAGCCCTTGTACAAGCGCCGATCCCACCTCCAGCCAGCACGCAGGACTCTCAATCGGCCACCGCAGAACAAGAAATGCGTGAGAAGATGTACGAGCGGCTCTTTGACATTCCCAGCCGTGAAATTGCGGACCCCGTCGCCATACCAGAGCTTGCTGAGTTCCGGGATACGCTGCTCACCCAGGCGCACCACAATCTCGCCATTCATGACGTTTTCCGGCCAGAAGTGCTGCGTGCACCTGTTTTGTTAATTTGTCGCTGCATGGAGAAGAAAGATCATCCAGAAGAAGTCCGCTTTGATGGCAACAGCAATCGCCATCAAGGCGCATGCCAAGGAACCAATGGATTCGCCGAGTTTGCCGCGGGCCGTCTTGACGTCCGGTGTGTGCCTAGCTCAGATCATTATACAATGCTGAAGGAGGAACGATGCTTGCAAGCGATCGGAAAGATACTAGAGGAGGATTGGCGTGAGAGGAAATGATTGTCTTGTATTTATCGGCATTATGAGAAGTATTTAGCGAATATTAGCATCAGCACACTGGGTGATCGGTATTCAATAAGACAGGAACTATGTTATCCGTTCATCAGTTTACCACTAATTGCACGACTATCGCGGCCAATAGTAGCCACTATTCAAAATAGGGTTTCTACAACACTTTAAGGGCCACTCTGAATACGCATTATATGAATCAAGTATGCTGGTCATCATCTAAAAAATTAAGTAGCAGGGGAAATCCGGTACCTATGTACCCACATTGTCCGAATTAGGCTTAGTAGCTATAGTTTCTTTGTTTGAGTGGAGATGAAAAATGGGGCACCTTCCCAATTAGGCCAGAGCGAGGTCAGTCGCACCTTCTTCAACAGCCCACGTAAAGCAGATCCCCGACATATAAAAGGGCCCCACCCAGGCTTTTTAAACTTCCTCCTGTCAACCACCTCTATCACAAGCATCCCAGATCTGATCTGGCACGGCTTCCCTGACTTTGAGTGGTAAATGTGAGCATCACACTCTCTTCTCAGTCAAAATGATCTGCTGACAATCGACAGCCTTAGTAGGTCTACAGGGACACTGCAGGCCCTGTACATATCGAACAGGTACCGTATGTTATACTCTCCCGCAGGCTTTTCGCACATGTTTTCACAAGTCTGACTCCTGCTTCTTGATTAGGTCCTTCGTTGGGAATCCAAAGCCTCGGCAGCGGTTGTATGCTCTCCTGCTGTTAAAAATATTTTCTTCATTACTGACTTGTTTTTACAGAACCCTCGTTGGTTGGTGGCAAGGTACCTGCACTGAGCATGGGCTTTCTTGGATTGTCCTGTCAGCCTTGGTGATGTGCGGGTGAGTTCTCCAGCCAGTAACATTTTACTATTTCTAACCACATTATTTCCTCATTAGAATTGTCAAAATGCCCAGACCAAGTCGGTACCCTCTCCGCAGGATTGTACTGTAATTCTTGGGGAGGCAGATGGGATCCTCTGCAAGTCCCATCGATTCCTACTGGTTTGGAAGCCTGAGGCGGAGTCGGTATGCGCTGCAGCAATACAGGTTGCCCATCTCGTCTTGGGGGCATCCAGGACCCAAGTCCAAGGTACGCTTTTCTCCAAATGCTGTCTTTTATTATCCCTAACCTGCGCTCTTCTCATTAGAACCTTCGTGGGAAGACCTGAAGTCAAACTGGGAGTGCACGACCTCAGTTTAGGCGGGTCCGGCTAAACTCCAGGTAAGTTCCCTTCCTCAGTCTGCTCATTCCTCTTGCTAACTTGGGGTTATTTCTCATCAGTGCTTTCAGCGGAGTTTTTGGCATTACACAGGTAACTGTGTGATTCCTCTCGCAACTGGCCATGCAACCCCGCTCTTTTTCGAAAAAGCGAAGAAACAAATTGGAGCTCCAAACTTTGCGGTATACTTGTTTAGCCTTCGGGCACCTTTCTGTGGGCTGTGGGATTTCTGTGGGCTGCTGGATTTCAAGCCGAGGAACTGAGAGCTATTGGTCTGTTGCATGGGTACAAGGTCCAAAGAATCTACTTTCGGATCAGTACACCCAGCCCAGCAACACCATAGAACAAAACTTCCATTACATTACTGATCGGAGTGGGCTGAAAATACAACGAATTATTCGCCTGCTATACTCTTGGTCGTTAATGTACCTGGAAACATTATTCTTGATCAAACAAGATCATTGGTAGTTATTAGTATCTAGCTTTGAATTCCAAAGACCTTTTATACTCCAGCTGTAATACCTAGCCACCGAAGCCCCAAGGGAAATATCACAGGCCCATCAATATGTCACTTTATATGAAGTGGCCGCTAGGAACTGGTCAATGCTTACCTTACAAGCACCTCACCAAAAATGGATGTGTTTCCCAAATTAAAATTTCCATTCACCTAGCTGATTCAACTTTTTCTCTTTAAATGTCTGCTTTGGTTCTTTCCGTAGTCACTGCCACCTTCCCCTCCTCCCTTCCTTGTTCTCCTCTCCTTATCTACTTCTCCTTTCACTTCTCATATCTTATTACTACGAACTTGTCTTCCACCAATCACGCATCACTTAACTAGGTGAGTCAAATACTTCTCCCTGTTGCCGCCATTAGCCCTCCACCATCCTCGACGAAGCACCCGTCTCTTCAAAACTGAAAAATACTCCTCGCCCAACCTTCCGCGCCACTGAAATCGACTTTCCTCTTACTACGAGGTCTTGCTTCTTCCAGCTGCGGCCATTGGCCCTCTCCCTCCTAAGCCCAACACTGCCAACAGGCCATTTCTGCGGAGCCGTCGGAAGAGGCGACGGAGAAAACAGGCCAAGAAAGAGAAGGCAAGCTATTGATCAGGCCTCATATATCCTGACATATAATTTTATTTCTTTTCACTGGACAATACTAACAACAATACAAGGCCAGGGCTCTGAAAAAGCCAGGCGTGAGGCCATAATGGGGTTAATCTCCACAAAGCCTAAGCCAGACACTTCCGCTTCCACTGTCAGTTCTCCCTACACCTTTTCAAAGGTAGTAGACCTAATTCTGTATAGGCCTCCCCAAACCCAAACAGAGTGCGTTCTAAGAACCCCAAATTCGACAAGTCGGCGCACGAAAATCTGGCTAAGGCCACATGACAATATCTTCTATAGTGACCGATTTTGAGACAATTTGGAATATCTAGTTAGCCAGAGGCATCAACAACAGGGTAGTCTATTACTTTTATAGTGTCCTTCCGTGGTCTTGAATGTCAGGGCATTCAGAAACGGCAAGTACAGCAAGTCTACAGAAACAGGATTCTAGGGATCCAAAGATTTATTAATTTAAACTACTCTATATTTATCCATATTTATGGACATTGAAAGTCCAGGTAGCCTAGAAAGGCAAAGTGAGTCGATGGTATTGGGTCAAAGCCCTCAGAATACCAATCCCTTTACCTCGGAGATTGCAACCCAGTACTGTAATCAGCCTATCTCCACTAATTCAGTAGACATCAATTCACTTCGCCGTCTGTCTGTCCCTTCCGATATTTGATTATCGTTTGAGAGTTTGGACAGGGAAGAAACCACTGTCTCCGTCTGTGACAGACGCGTATGATGAGGCTCATTATACGAAATCATGGGGAGTGGAGCCAGTTCATCATTTGGTTGATTTGTAACAGGAATCCCCTGAGTTTCTTTCTGGCGACATTTCCGCCGATAGAAGATGAGCGCGCCAATAATGACAGCTACCAACAAAACACCTAAAGGAACACCAAGACCGATTCCAATTTTATTCGTCTTCGACAGGCCATGGCTAGACTGAGGAGTTGACGTAGTCGTTGAGTATGATGTAGATTCGACACTAGCCAAGGTAGCGAAAGATGTAGAAGTTGTTTTCGTAGTGCTTGTGGACGTGGATGACGATGCATTGATGAAATTGTATGAGACCGGTGATGGATCATCTGTGTATCTCTTCGAGACCCCAAATATAATACTTGTAATATTGTCGCCATATGACTCGCCTTCGGTAGTGAACGGCTGGAGCGTGAAGCGACAGCCGGACTCTACATAGCTTTTGCGAGTCGCTATCCACACGTAGCTATACTTGTTGGTAGTTTTCTCTAAAGGGAATAGTCAGATTATCGGTAAAAATGCAAGAAGATAAGTCAAATAGACAGTCTCACCTTCTAAAGCACGGTCATTACTGCCACAAGTCTCGTAAAGCGAAATCAGAGGAGCGACAACATCCCAGGTTACATTCACTAGGTCTGCCACTCTGAAACCACTTTCGGCTGCAGCTCCTGTTGGAAATGTGAACTTTCCTGCCATATCGCACCTAGGAACATCAAGCAGAAATATCCGTTTGGGGTGGAGGGAGTTGTGACAGCAAGGCAAATTTTGTAGAATTGAGAAAGTGAAGTCGCAAAAAAGGGGCGGATGCTATTTTCCGATTGACTAGGATTAAAGGACCCCTCTTCTATGTAAAGAGATAACCCTTTTGACCGGCATAAGACTAGAGAGTATTTGGAGTAGCTATCGTAAACCCTGTCTAGTGCAAGATGGTAATAGACACTACTGGCCCACATCGTGGGAACAATGGGGTTAAACGGAGTATTTTATACGCATCTGCACCATAATCACAACCAAAAGGCCCAACAAAGGCGAAAAAAAGGCAGGGAGAGGCTAGGGTTCAAGACATAGAGAACATGAAGAGAAGTAAACAAGGCTAGAAACCTCAGGCATTATGGCATCCGCTTCCTATTTAGGACTAGTTCGAATTAGTTCGAGTTAGCCTGGCCGATTCATTTCATCTTGACTTTCCTAATAACTAGGATATTTTGTAGGGGAGCACATGAAAAATGGTTTATCTTATTTGTATTCGACTTTGTTAATTATTTGTAAAATTTGCCAAAGCTTGCCAACTAATTCGTACCTAGTTATGCCGTCTATCAGTTATCTAAATCTAAAAACAAATGAATTCTAAGAACATAAAATGGACCCGAGGATCTATCCCAAACGACTTTATCATCATACCTCGATGTGTGCAGTCTCGGTCATTGGCTTATCAATACTCCCAGTATTCAAAGTTCGATGATGCCCAGGGAGAACGGGATAACCTTTAGTTGCCCAAACACCTCCAGTAATTCCACCTCTTGAGAAGAGGTGATCGACATCCTCTAGTTCCAAGCCTTTGGTCTCGGGGAAGAAGAAAAAGACCATAGGAATCTTAGTCCAGTCAGCATCATAAAACATAGAAATTGTGTTCAGAATCAGTGTCATACCCAGGCAAAGCAGAAGCAGGCGAAGATGATAAATGTTTTCCATCCAATATTGTCAATTGCGGTTGGCGTAATTTGGACGACAATGACTGCGAGGGTTAGCGATTCCATTTACATTGTATGAAGACCAGTCAACTTACAAACGCAAATCCAATTGACAAAGCCACCGAAAGCCTGAGCCCTAGCTCGAATACGAGTAGTCGAGATTTCAGAAGGATAGAACCTTGTTAATTGTTAGCAGTGGCACACAAACACAGCAAAGATAGGAAATACCAACCAGGGAACTGGTAGATAACCAATGCCAAGGAACAGCTGGAAGATAAAAACAAATACGGTAGCTGCATACGCACATGGCGCAGTTCCAATTGATAATAGAATGGCAGTCATCACGAAACAGAAACAAAGACCAGCGGCGGACACCATGAGTGATGCCCGTCGGCCGAATTTATCCATACTCCACAAGGGGATAATGGAGCCAACAAGGTACGCGAGAGAGGTGCAGCCACCGAGCACGAGGGATAGATTGCGAGATAGGTCCATAGCATTCTAGATTGGATTGCCATTAGTTTACTTTTTCGGCTGGGGATGGGTATAGGAGCATACCTGGTAGACAATGGGGGCATAGTAATTGATCATGTTAGAGCCTAGAATATATTAATAAGTCAATTTCTTACCGTACCTGAATCGGCATTGCTCACCTGTAAACTGCTGCTGGATATTGACAGCAGCAGCCAAGATCATGCGTCGAAGATTTCCCATCTGGCCACCTGACCATAGCTCCTTGTACCTGAAGGGCCCGCCAGCAGACTCAATCTCGATAGATGATTCAATTTGATGGCGTAGAAGGATAACCTCCGGATCAGACTCATCGGAGGGCTGATCCAGTTTTAGCCGTGCCAGGACCGACGCTGCCTCATCACTGCGATCTTGTTCACACAGCCAGCGTGGCGAATCAGGCAGAGGAATCATCTGTAAAACCAGGCAGACAGCAAAGAAAGCCTGGAAACTAATTGGGAACCGCCACTGGACGGGTGTATCCACGAAGCTTAGTCCATAGTCCAGCCAGTATGCAATACAGAGACCGAGAATTGTAACGGTGCCTTGAGCAGAGAGTAACATGCCACGCTGCTCTGGACGGGCTAGCTCGGATTGATATGCTGGAACGGTACTGCTGTTGATTCCGTTACCAAGGCCAGTGACAATTCGGCCAACGAGGAATTGAGGGACGGTATAGGAGCTGCCGAGAATGATTGTTCCTATGATCATGATCGAACCACCCGCAAGAATCATCTTGCGGCGACCGAATTTGTGTCCAATAACGAGACTAAGGAGACAGCCTACCGCACAGCCGATATCGTAGATCGAAGTAAGGAGACCCTGCATCGTGCTATCGGGATTGTTAAATGTTTGTCCAAATTGATTGTTCGCGCCAATTAGGCCGCTCATGACGCCCTGATCATATCCCAGGAGGAGAAAGGCTTGACAGCTTGCAGCCGTCACAGCCCAGTGTAGGTATCTTCCGCGCAGGACCATATTGTGCTTAGACCGTTGGAGAAACTGGATAGATACTGAGATCTGGGGCCCCGGGTCCTTTTCTCCACATATTCATCCATTTCGACTCCATGGTATCTCGGTTCAATATTTTCCGAGAAGGATTGACTGTTCGGTTTAATGCAACCCGGGGCCGTCATTGATATTCACCAGCGGGACGAAACAGGACTAGCGCAGGGTTTTCCCCGCGGGGTCTCCCCCACACGCCACCGAAAACTTGCTCGGTTGGAGAGACAAGGATAGTCTTAACAACGTCATTGTTGCCTTATGATGATATCCTGGGTTTGAGAGATTCGAAGACTTAGTGATGTTGTTAACGCAGTCTCTTGATACGCTCTAGCACGGGCGATCTTAACCCTATTAAACTAGCTCAGCTGAAAAGTTCCCCTGATGCATGTTATTTAGTTTTTAGAGCAGCTCACATTAGCGTATACGCAACCGATATTTATTATACCTACCTGCTATATATATGAATGGCCGAGCTGAACAAAGAGGATAAATGTGTTTGAGCCTTTTGCACTGTTATTCAGTATCTCAAACCTCTGACATTTTACATTCACAAGGACAGTTTCCTGATCAAGATAAAAACAATGCCTACCTACGCAGCGGTACAGGGGTCATGCGACAAAATCCCCTTTTCAGGTATTAATACCCGACTTAAGACTGCCAGAAAAACGAAGACACTTGAATTACTATTATAGAGGCCATAATAAGAAAGGTGCCCTACCGCTCTGTGATCTAATCATCTCTATAAGGTAAAAATGCTACTTACACTGTACAACTTTATATGTCACCACTTTTTTAGGGTGGTTACAGCTTGTAAGTATGAACATCATTTGATCTTCTTTATACTTAAGAGCAGAAATCCAATAGACCTCCCTATATATATAAGAAATAGTTGGCAGTTTACAAGGGCACGTGGTGTCTTTTAGATGTTCATTTTAGAATGAATGAATTGGCGTATATCTAAAGGTCCAAGTACCGGTCCACAGCCTCAATCTGACGGGCAATCCAATGCTGGTTGGAATATTGAGACATGAGGTTATCCCTAAACACAACCAAGTGGCGCTGAAGCTTGTGAGTCTTCGCTAGGAATGCACACCTGTGCCCATAGTAGCTAGGTCTATCTCGCACAGTACGGCACCGTGGCATCTCCTTGTACATAGTGGCACTATACTGCTTAATAACACGTAATTGGTCAATAAGGTCGGTGAGGTTATCCACAGCTAGCGCCAGGCGGAAGGGCGAGATCCCCTGGCGACTAGTAAGGACATCAATCTCGAGCTGCATGTTAGCTACGAAATGATGGCGTGTGTGCAGAAACTGGTATTCGGTGTTTCCTGCAGGGATTATCATAATGACGAATGTATACTATGTAACAAGCCCAAGGAGGGAATTAGATTCTGTGAGGTTAGTTGAGAGTGCCAAGGAAGCCGTAGCCGATAAAGATCCTTCCAACGATGTTGATGGTTTTCGAGAAGAACGTAGGATCGAGTCTATTTATGCAATATCTGTTGAGGGATACTTGGTTGTCGGAATCAAAGGAGGGTAATGTCATGGAAGAAACAATGCGAGTCACACAAAGACTTTATTAGTGTGGTCTCCCTCTTTTAGGGGCGCCATTCATTCTTTATGGTTTTTACAGGTATAGAATTTAGGAAGGATCAAGGACAAAAACTGTATTGCTGTAGCCAAGCCACTCAAACCTCTTGTTTCAGTCTTTGATGTCCTATAATACACTACGTAGGTACATCCGAAACTCCGTATAGGTCCATCTTTCTCATTGTTGATTGTTACTCCAAGCGAACTAGCAGCGACCATGGTATCACTCTTCTTCTTTCAGAGCTGGCGGAAGGTAGTAGTATTCAGCGGGGAAATCAATAATTGTATAAGTCTTCGTTCATCGATGTTTTAGGATATGACAGCGTTGAACTCGGGGCATCGCTACAACTTTCAAGAGCAAGGAATCACATAAGTGAGCATGACTATCTATACTTTTTGAATATCAAGAATAAAGTTGATCTCAAAGCCCGAAACCTGCCCAAATCCTGCGCTGGACCAATTAAAGAACGTCAATTCCACTGCGTCATCGAGGCTCGGCGCATACCGCTAACCCAAAATAGGCTTCATGTTGCGCCTCACATCAGCAACATCAATATAACATTGGAAGATACCCCCCTAGGCCTTTTTTTGCACCTATCTCTTTCGGTAGAAGCTGCCTTGTCCCGTGCCCGTGCCCGCAATCTGAAAATGAGCTTGACCGACCGAATTATCCATTCCATCTATGGGCTTCCACCTCCGACCAGCGGCATACGCAAAGAGCCAATGCAGGTGCTGGCCGTCGGAATCTCACGAAGCGGAACCGACAGTCTCCGCGAAGCTTTGCATATTTTGGGATTTAACCACACCCACCATGGTTTTGATACAATCCTTCCCCCTTCATCTTTGGAAGGGATATACCGACTTTTGCAAAAGAAATATACCAACGCCCCTGAAGCCAACACGACCAATAAATTGACAGCGGAAGACTTCGACTCAATTCTACTAAACAGTGTGGGTGTCAGTGATTTATTCGCAGCAGAATTCGCACCCGAACTCATCGAAGCCTACCCCGACGCGAAAGTCATCCTGAATGTCCGCCAGGACCTTGATAGCTGGTACCGTAGCATGCAAAACACCATGGGATATTTCGACAAGAATCCTATTGATTGGGACTGGTGCAAATCTTGGTTCAGCGCGGATCTTTTCTGGATTCGCCAAACAATGTCCAGGACCATGATGCCCCGATTCTTCAGAGGGAGTTTCGAATCGAACGGGAAGTGGGTCTATGAACAACATGTTGCAATGGTTAGAGGCCTAGGTTTACCGGACGATCGACTTCTCGAATGGTCTGTTGAAGATGGCTGGGAGCCTCTTTGTCGATTCCTGGGTAAGCCTGTGCCTGAGATTCCGTTTCCCAGTGGGAATCCCCCAAAGGCATGGGCAGAACGAATCGGAAAGACTATGGAGGCCCATCATAAGCGAGCAGTAAGAAATATGCTTATTTTTGGGGCTTTGACTTTGATTATTTCTGTTATTTTGTAATACATCCCATCTCATTTCAAGTGCATATATCTGATTCACCGAGGTCCATCATAGGTGGTAGGTTTTATATATTAAGCCATTCTAAGAGGGATAAAGGACTTAGAGTACCTCACCTCTCTCTCACACTTTTCCCTCACTTATGATCAGGTAGAGAACAGGGTCTCAATACGCGACCCTCTACAACGTCCCTACTCGGTCACCAATAAAAAAACGGAGTTCGGAGAATATGGGACGAATCGGCACTTATTTCCCAATTTTTACATATTTCTTAGCTAGTTACACCTGAGTAAGATCTATATTTCTATCACTTGTGATAAAAATGCCCTATTTTTGATATACATACTTGAGAAAGTCCCTTGTAGTTTTATAGTCTTGGCTCATAGCATGGCTGTCTCGTCATCTCGGAGAAATTATTCACCAAGTCCTCACGACCATACTGGTACTAAATCAAGAGAATAGACTTGATGCGTATTCTAATAGATCGATTCTTGCCGACGCAGACATAGCCCTGACAGCTGCTGTGAAGTAAGGGATGTCGACACCCTTGAAAGAACAGCTTCTCCCATGAACGCCAATAGTCACCGTGCCAATGTCATCGTCGCCCGCAATGGCCTCGTGAATTAACATTTCTTTGTCAACTGACCCGAGGACAACGGTGCTGCTGATAGACTTCCCCAGAAAGAGATAGGGCAAATCGACCCAACCCAGATCTGAACCACCCAAGGTGAGATTGAAAGTCACATGTCCCTAACAGTGTCAGCCATACTTATACCCTAGGATATGGGATGGATTGACATACCAGCTCAACAATGAATGGGCTCGGATTCCGCACGGAGATTGTAGCATTGAAATTATATCCATCAACTGGAGGATCCAGGAGTTCTATCTTGGTGACGTTGAATGCGCCTTCGGCATTCATGAAGTCTGCGAGTTTTAGAAGGGTTTACCCCCAGCGGGACATTTAGTATGACATGTCTTACCTGTGATATTATAGCCTAATTCAGCATTGTTAGTTTGTTTCATGGTAGACAGGGAAAGGGTTCACTCACTACCCACGTGCATGATTTTATGAATGTTCAAATGAGCAGTTGGTAGAGCACCATATTTCAAATCCGGTGAACCTTCGATCAAAACGGAAGAGCTCTCGTTAGACGCAGCTGCTGTGGTCAATCGCGACAGACAGTCGACACAAGACAAATTCAAATCTTCGTCTATTTCAAGAGTGGCGCCGCTGCCAAATGCAATTTCTGGCACAGGGAATACTGTGACAATCTCGTCGGTGTCTTTAAGACGACAGGTAGCATTGAATGGACTCATAGTACCACTACCGCTGAATCCACCTCCGATTTTCAGTGTTTTCTTTTGTTTAATATGAATGGCAGTAGGTCGGGGGTTGGTAATTTCGAGACCATCGGTGTCATACTCGTACTTGTTGATATAGTCATTCGCGAAATTGGGAATCCCGACATAAAAGCTGAGGAACAGTCAGGATCAATGGTATAACATTTCACGATAAAGCTCACTCACAGTGGGAGAATGATGACTAGGGCAGAGATGCAGAATGCGATCGAATAAGCCCACCAGAACCTCTTCAAATGTGCCTTGAACCGGGTCCATAAGGTCGGTTTTGCTGAAGCCGGTAACCCCTCATCCGCCTCCGAGTTACTTGAGATGTCGGATTTTGACATGATGGGCGCAATAATGCTGATGGCTAAAATATTCGCTTTCAGCCTAGGTCATGGATGGTGAAATTCCGGTGGATGGCAGTATGAAAACTACTTTCCATGCTGTAGCGTGTGGAGGTAGAAGTAGGAGAATGAAATTAAAACGGGGTTCGGGGCTCGGGTGAAGCAATTTCATAAACTAGTCGTCGCTTGGGGTTCTGTTATACCCATGTCGATCAGACCCGCCTTTCACATGATAGGGAAATATGCGATTCAAAACAAAACAACACCTTTGCGCGACCTCGGTAATTGATGTCATAATTTCATAATATTTCTTTCAGGGTCAGCTAAGTCGTTTGATCGCCGGTTCGAGGGCTAACGTTTAGTATATAAATGTTGGAAGACAAGGCTCAAGGCAAAGAAACCTGGGGTGTCTTGGTACCAAAAGTGTGTCAAAGTGGCCAATCAACGGCATCAATAGCTAATCGGCTTGTCTCAAAAACGGGGCTAGGCACTCGTACTTGTCCTACCGAATACGCGATCGACACGATGGCGTTGATGGATTGCAGATCATGCACAGAATAGGGTGATCGGCGGAGATAGGCCTCGGCTGTGGAGTGAAGCATCTACAAAGTACGGAGTATATCGTACATCGTTGTGTAAAGACCGACCTCCATATTGATGCGAATTGCATACTTCGTGTTAAATATAAGATGAAAATCTCGTCTTGGTTAATGATTTTATGTAGTTTTAGACGATATAATCAATTTGCTAAAGGGTCGTTTATTGCGTAGGCTCTTGTAGTTTTCAAAAATGGAAACCAACGTATGGTAGGTGAATATATCTTCTTACTCCTTGATAGTGGTATTGGCTTTAGTAAATCTATGATGGACTTTGCTGTGGAGCTCACCCTCCTAGAACATTCTTTTTTCAAGTCTTTTCGAATGTCCTTATTCATACCGTCTCATATCCTCTTCTATTTCCTAGTTCGTAGAGGTACTACGTAGATGTCACGGAAATGAGCTCCAAACTTGCTGCCTCTGATTGCCGAAAAGAAACATTTCACTTCCAGCATTTTGTTTCCCTTCCTTTTCCTCTTCCCCCTCTCTTAACGAACTTTCTGGCACCGCTGTCACTGCTGCCGCTTGAAATTCCACCCCCTCCCACCTCCACCACCACCACCTCCTCCTCCCCCCCTCCCCGAAGCCCAAGCGGGTGCGATCCAAGCACCCCAAATTCCACAAAGGCGGAAATGGCACCGCCCCAGAGCATGTTGCCCCGGGCCCGGGAGAGGCCCAGCCTCAGGTCTCTCCCGCGGCAGAGGAGAGCGCAAGCCTGCCTCCTTCCGGTATGTCTAAGGATCAAGGATCAACCATGTATTCTCAGGACAACTATGCCGACGAAATCAAACAGCCACCAACCCTGCCAGCTCCCCCAGTCCTCCTCCTCTTCCTCCCTCCTCCTCCTCCTCCTCTGCTCCCGCTGGCGCCGACAAGAAGAATAACTAATACTTTCTGGTGTCCGGGTTTGTGGGCGGTCTCTCTAGTGGGCTGACCCCGTCGCGTCTGGCTTTTGCCCCCTGGATCCGATGAGATTAAATAATTGAGAGGTTTGCCCTCCGGGGCGTGATAAACCCTTTCTTCATCTTTCCATATGTAAACCTCGGGTAAGAGTTTATAAAGTTGCTTTCCATGAGTGCTTGAAGTTACGGAACTTGTCAAATTGGCGTGGTTGTTGTGTCTTGAAGGGTCCACCTGGGACGCAGACCGGCCCGACCCGACAGTTTCCGAGGTCTCCGGGTGTTCTAGAAAATCCCAACCTTTGGAATGCAATTTTATTTCATCCACAGATGGTCCAGGTGTTCTCTAGTATTTTGTCTAGTATTGTCTAGTATTATCTATTTTTAGCAGAGCGATACCCATTTCGGATGTTGATTCAAAGTACGAGAAAAGGTAAAGACCACGCTAACTAGAAAGGGTCTAGATCGTGTTGTCCTTTCATCAGGGTGGTCCACGGCCCTATTTCCGTTCCTTCTCACAAGGTCTTGGTTCCTCTATTTTCGTGAAATCAAGGATTCCTACTGTGAAAATAATTAACTGGTTTTCCATTGCTGTACACTATTGCCCACATCATGCTCCCCCAGCACTCAATTCCACCCAAAGAAGGCCGATTTGCTCCGTCACATCCGAGGCCCAAAGTCAAAACACGACGAAAACGCATGATTTTGCGGATCACTCGCTTCATTATTGCGGTAGTAGCTGGGTGGTTGGTTGTATCGTGTCTGCTCTTCAGACCGCCAGCTTCAGACACAAAGAGTCTGGGATCGACTTCCAGTCTGGTCACGGACAGACTTTTGCAAATCTGGCCCACGGATATCAGGACCTTGGAACTACCGGTACATGATTCGAGGTCGCCAGGGACGCTTGATGAACAATCCATTGTAAAAAGTCCAGCAGGATTGCAGCAAAATGTACCCTCTGCGACAGGGAAAGACAAAGATACGACAGCGAAAGACGAAGAGTCAGCTAAATCATTATCAAATAATGTTGAACATACCAACGAGAACATGGATTCAAAGAATATAGAGCCTAACCGCTTTGACGCTGCTCTAGACTCCCTTCTATCGACAATTTCCAATAAGCTATATCTCCAAGAGCTCATTCAGCCAGTGATCGGCACAGGCGAGAAGAAGCTGCACGAGCTTGCCTTGCGCACACGCGCATATAAGAAGTTTTTTGAGATTTGGGAGAATGTTCATCTAGTCAAGAACGATGATCATACTTACGTGCGAAATGATATTGTCACCTACATCCGCGACAGGTTCAGCGAGTCAACATTCCCCGAGGCCCTGCACAAATACGAAGCTTACCGCCACTTTATCACCAAGTTCTCTACCCTTTTGTTTCCATGGACGAGCCCGTACTTTGCGGATCATATGGGATTGCATGTCTCGTCGCGCCATGGAGGCCGCGGAATCGTAACAACGGCAGGAAATAACCATGCGCCTTTTCTACTGGCTGCCATCCCTTCCTTTCGTCTCCTGGGTTGCGATATTCCCGTCGAGATAATGTATCTCGGTGAGAGCGATTTGAGCGAAGACTTCCGCACGAAGCTCGATGCACTGCCAGGTGTCACAACGCGTGACCTCTCCGCAATGGTTAGTGACGAAGGTTGGCGGCTCAATGGGTGGGCTGGCAAGCCCTTTGCTATACTTTTCTCGTCTTTCCGTGAAGTCGTGTTCATTGATGCCGACTCATTGTTTTTCGTTAACCCCGAGTTGCTATTTGATGACCCGGATTACGTGCGCACGGGCGCTCTTTTCTTCAGGGATAGAAATATCCTGCCAGAGAGTAAGAAGGAATGGCTGCAGAAGATCTTGCCAAAGCCGATTTCGCAATCTGTACAGGAAAGCAGAATGTGGACAGGAGAGAGCGGGCATGTGCAAGAGTCGGGGGTTGTTGTTGTAGATAAGTGGAAGCACTTCGTCGCACTGTTGCTCGTATGCAGAATGAATGGATCAGAGAGGGATCGCAACGGCGTGGACACTGTAGGGACTTACGATATGGTATACGGTTCGTCTCACCCCTATGCATATCTTCCTAGGTTGCCATTTTATTTGCTAACTCCTGGAGCTACACAGGTGACAAGGAAACCTTTTGGATCGGATGGGAGCTCGCTGGTGATACTTCCTATGCCTTCCATTCGGGCGGATCTGGAGTCATGGGCATAGTCCAAACACCTGTCAACTTCAACGCCACTGATCAACAGTCCGAATCGACCTTTAGCACGGGGACCGAAGCGATCCCAGCGAAAAAGGAACGCAAAATGGCGCCTGGTCATGAGTCTGATCTAACCATATGTGCCCCCCAACTCCTACATCTGGACCGCGAGAAGCGCCCTTTGTGGTTCAATGGCTGGCTGTATGAGAATAAATATGCGGGAAGTAAACGGGTTCTCGGAACATTTGAGGCGTTCATGGAGGAGCCAAGTGAATCGTTGGGTCGAGCACCGTGGCAACTAGAGGAGAGCAATCTCTGTTGCTTGTCAAACTCTGTGGCAAAGGACTTCACAAGGCAGGAGACTGAATGGCTAGAGGTGTTGATTGAGATGGCGAGGGCGGTGGAGAGCTAAAGGGAGAACCTTTGTACATCCATGGATGTATTCATCACTGGATTGTACGTAAAGGTCAAGGATTTAAACAACTTTGGAAGTCCTCAAAAAGACATACCATAGGATCGTTCCTTCTTTCTTCTCCCACGCTCCTCCACAAGTCTTCTTCCAAGAGGTCTTTCCAGCTGACTTTTCAACCCTCCTTCCAACTCTCTTTGCAGCCTTCCTTTCCAACCTCTTTTCAAACCTCTTTCTAAACCTCCTTCCAAAGCGTATTTTTGCCATCATTTTCTACATCATGGCTGAAGCATCCGCTGTCGCACCCCCTCCTCCCAAAAGCAACAAGGAGAAGAAAAAGGAGTGGTGCGCTGCCGTCAAGAAGGGGAAGCGAGAGCGCAAGAAGGCCCGTCGTACCCGCATTGATGCCATCTTCAATGACTTGTTGAACAAGTACAATGCAATGGTGAGATCCTCTTGATCCACACCACACATAGGGTCTCTCTAGTGAGGTTCAAGCTGATATTATCTCTAGGGTAGCGCAGACCAAAGTGCTGCGGACTGTGCTGACGCCATTCGCGTTCTCAGAGAAACGGCTGAGGTGAGTATCCTGAATGGAATATATCTCCTATTAGAAATCTACCCAGTCTAACATCGTATATGCTCATAGGCACTGGGGGAGGAACGTAACCCCCACACACACGTGAAGAAAAAATAGGGGGTACATGGAGAAGGTTAAGGGAGGGGGGTATCGCATCATTACGGGGTTGTCTTTCTGCGTTCCGTTTTTGTCCCCTTCCATCTAAGTATCAGTCTTCTAACAAACAAATAACGCATTCTTTATTCTTTGGAAAGCGAGCACAATGTCTACTAGGAACCACAATGTTCAAATCTAGAATAGAGTGGCACTTGGCCGATAACATAAATGTCCATTACATAAAGATTGAGATAATCCATGTATTCCAAACACCGTTGACCGAAGAGATATCAAGCCACTTCGATCATGCAATGTGACGGAATTTACCTGGGTAGGTAATTGATCTTTGGTTCTGCCATACTGTACAGTCGACAGATATTGAGTCTGAAGCTTGGACAGACAGCCCATTTGCACATAATGTTACCCATGATGAGTTCCAGTGATGTGAAATCCAACGCCCGCAAGTTCCACAAATCTCGCCCCTCTGCTGCCATGAGATACCGTAAGAAGACACCAAGGCCTACAATTCGTTTGGCGGCCTTCGCCCAATATTGCCGAAGCATTGTTATGGACAGTGTAATCTACCGGACTATCATCCTCAGAGGGTGTGTTGCTCCGACATGCAAAATGCCTCGACGACAAAGTCCCAGACAGCAGTGAGCTTATGGTTCTCGCGGCGATATACGGTCTCCCGTATATCACACAAGGCCTATTTTGTACAAAAGAAGGTCAGTAGCTGCAGTAGGTCCAGGTGCAGGGAGTAGTGTTGGCAGAACTTACGAAGGGTGTGTGGGGAAGAGAGAAGAAAGAGAGAAAATGAGAGATGGATGGTTTTATGGGAGTGCATGCAGCCAATCACATGCTAAATTGACAACTCAGGAAATGAAGTTCTCGTCCTGCCAACGCCCAATTAGGTTTAGTAGCCATTTCTTTGTTCTTTGTTCTCTTTGTTTGCCATACGCCCCCCCCGGCGGGACCAATCAAAGTGGGGCCATACCTTCCCGATTTGGCCTAGTTCCATCTTTAATTGAGCCGCACTCAATGTTAGACCTCGAGAGTCGCTTTCCTTCCGTCAACATTCCTATAATTATACCTTTTCTATCTTTATCACCAACATACTGGGATACCTCGATTCTAAAGACATGAATCGAGCCAAAAAGGCATATGTCCCATTATATTCTCTTCGTACAATAATGCTATATTTATTTGATGGTGGAATATTGTTGACTTGCGTCTCTCGACAGGGAGCCTTCATTGGGTTGAAGAGACAAGCATAAAATTATAATGTCAATCGAGATCAGAGTCGATATCAACAGGTATGATTATATATTCTATTTTAAGACACTGGTCTGCAATGTGTGTCCCCCCTCACCCCACCGCCCCGAATGACCCAACGTCAAGCTCTATCCCCCCCCGTCTTCCTATGGCCTATGGCCCTGCGATTCTTCCACGGCGGGCTCTATATCATGATTAGCAATCCTTGAATATGACAGCAATTCAAAATACAAATAGGCACATACCAGTTGGCTCCGCCTCGACATTGTTCCCAGCCTCTCCAGAGACCGGGTCCACAAACGACTACTGATGTGCGGAGCTACGCTCTATATCACCATTAGCCACTGTCCATTAGAGCATAACAGAATTGGAGCTCTTATTCTGAGTAAATACATACGTACCCGCTTTCTCCAAAGCCGCTGCAGCCTGTTGCTCGGCCGCAGCCCACTTGGCCGCAGCGCGACGACGCCTGCGTGACCCACGCTTGGGAGCCTTTCACCTGTTAACAGACCATGTCTTGCTATATTTTATGAGACGCAGCTTACAACGTCTGGCGTGGTTCCTTGCTGGTGTAATAGACGCCATACCGTGGAGACCCTGGCATTGTGCGTGGCCTTCTTCTAGAGGTACTATCAGTATCCATCTTTCAGGAAGTCAACCGTCACCAAAGGAAGACTGTTTCATATGGCGGAGGATATCTCCCCACACAATTGAACCTACTTGGGCCTTCTCGTCCTTCTTTCGCCGCTTGGTCTTCGCGTGATTTGCCAGGTAGGGCCGGTCTGTTGGCTTCCAGTTTGGGGGAAGAGGAGGAGGTGGTGGTGGTGGTGGTGGTGGGCCAGCTGCTGAGGATACAATGGTGGCCATTGTATTTGCTTATAAAGAGAGATAAGATGAAATGAAAGCAAATAGAAGAAAGTTGAGATAAAAGAAAGTGAGGCGAGGAGGAAATGGGAGATGGGACTTGACTCTCGCAGCTCGACACGAGACCTAGCCAAAGTGGAGAAAGAGACCAGTCCTAATTCCTTCTACACCCAGTAGCCTATGTACAGCTAACTCCATTATCTTTAGTGAAGTGTTTTTCTTTTTCTGAACGCCAACGTTGCAGGATACTTCACCTAGCCGAGGGTATTTCAGGATAGATTAATATAATACCTACGATGAATCCAACACTCGACATCCACATGGATCACAAGGCAAACACCAGAGACAATATCTGGGAATTATCGATTTCAAGGATGCAGGTAATAATTTTATGAGGCAAAAGACGAAATGTTCAAGAAAATCAAGGGCCGAAAGGAAACCGCTGCGCAAAGCTCTCATCCATGCATAAGTTCGCTTGTAAAAGAAGACAAATCAAGACACCAAAAGAATTAATAACACACGTTAGTCGAATGAATTCTATGTCCACACCTCAGACGAAATACAGGAAACGGAATGGTGTAAAAATAGATAGATCGCTCAAAGAACTCCCGATAGAACGGCTTCGGTGGCTGCATACCTGTTAGTTGTGTCCATTAAGATATCGAGTAGATTATCACATACCAGAATTGATGTATGGACGCTTGGCGTCCAGGTTGACATCGAACCGTCTTTCGAGCTCCTGCTTGACGGTCTTCTTCGAGACCTTCATCAAGTCTGCAGTCGACAAGATCTTGCGGATCTCTTCGAGGATCTCATCATCAGGAGGGAGATGGCTGAGGTCTTCCATGCCAAAGTTGCTCATCATTTCAGACGGGGCGGCTGAGTAACGAGCGCCACCGCCTCCCAGAGGCAATTCGAGTTGCGAGACCGGGCGCGAGTTGGTATGGTACCCATACTCTGATTGCGGGAAGGGAGGCAGTCTGGTGCCGTATGAGTGTGCAGAGAATTCAGATCGGTCATCGCGTGAAGTCTGGGATTCCCAGAGCTCGGCTTGGTAGTCTTCCCAGATCTTCTTGGGAATGGAGTCGGGGTCGAATTTGCCTTCGTCGGAAATAACAACCTTGCGACCTTTCTCTCCGGTGATAATACGGGTGTTACCCCAGGAGAAGTCGTCCATATGCCAGAAGGAGTACAGTGGCAGGGCAAGGGAGAAAACGGGAATGGCTAGGAGGTAGATCAACATCCAGCCAATCATTTCCCACCTGCGCCTAACGAGGAAGATCAAGGCCTGTAGTCCGTAGATGACACCAAGAAGAATAAAAGAAGTGATGGGTAGCACATCTGGTTGAGTCACACACCAGTAGATCAGGTAAACGATATAGGCAACCGTGACTGGCTGAATGACTGTCATGAGCAAATCGATAAGCACAATGAATCGCATACTGAAACAACAGAAACCACACAGTTGTTGCAGCGGAATCAACTCCATCAAGTTGTGAACCGTAGAATTGATCCACCGGCGACGTTGGGAGAGGAAGACAGCGAAGCTTTCCGGTGCAACTGTCCAGGCATGGCAACGGAAGATGTACTTTGTCTTGAACTTCGGGTGATGCTTGATAAGAAGTGTCGTCAAGTAGCGATCTTCACCAAGGTGCAGCAGATTCTTCATGTGGAGGGTATCGACGCGGATTTCCGAGTAGGCGTCGACAACAGCCTTACTGACAAAAAGAGGCGTTCCGTTCTCCGCCGTGCGGACACGATACATAGTGAAACAACCGGGCAAGCAAGTGACGGATCCAAACAAACTCTCGAATGCCTTGGTCAGGTTGTGAGAGATGTAGTATTCGTAAACCTGGATCATTGTCACAATGGAGGTCTTGGCGTTAGACAAAGATGTCTCTCCACAGGCGCCAATAAGACGCGTATCAGAGAGGAATGCCGAAACAAACCGTGTGGCGGCATCGGGCGCCACCATGGTATCAGCGTCGACCTGCAAAATATACTCGTAGAATTGCGGATTGACGCCAATAATGTTCCGGATGTGATGATGCATCTCAAGCTCCATGGGGCTCATCGGCAGGTTGTAGTGAACACGGTTGAGGAAGCGCATAAGAACCATCTGGGAATCACGTTTTCCACGGTTACCAGGACGGGACACTTCAGAAGGCTTGCCAACTTTCACAACAACCAGGAAAGGAACGATGTGGCCCTGGACTTCGTAGAGACCAGAATAGAGCTTTGCCATATTATGCTGCTTCATACCCTCACCCAGACTCTCAAAGCTGAGCGGTTCGGGATCCACAGATTCGGGGACACCCAAAATGTCAAGGACGATGCGGGGAGTCGGACGATCGTTGCCCTGGCCAATAATCATACCATCACAGATAACGAGCAGTAGCTTGCGCTTGTCGTCGTAGCGCATGCGAGCCATAGAGTCCATGGCACGACGCAGTGACTCTTCGTCTTCGGTGTAAACCGGGACTTGGCAAATGATGAATTTGTCCAAATTCTCCGGAAGATTCTTTCTTCCGAATTGCAAAGCAGCTAAGAATTTGAAGCCAATAATGGTAACAAGCATGATCGAAATTGCGAGAATGAAGTATCGCGCAAACTGACAGCGAACTGAGTCTCGAGTGTCAACCTTACCAATGAAGAAGAGGTTGTCAAGGCAAAGTTGCATGCGGGACCTAAGTGCCGTGTCGAAGTTCAAGTCTTCCCAATACTTGGTCACATCCTCTCCAGCCTTTCCCTGGAAGATATCAACAAGTAGAGGGCTCATGTAATCGGTATCAACAGTGCCAGTGGCGTTCTTTCCTGTTGGCCGGCGAGCTACTCGGGGACCGGCAATGTAATAGGTCAGATCGTAGATTTTGCCGTGGATACTTGCAACTTTCTTGGAATTGCTGGTCGCCAACGTCTTCATTGCCTTTGCAGTATAACCAACGTAGCCTTTCTTGTAGTTCGAGCGCATCATAACCATTTGTTCATAGAACCAATCAGGGCGGGAGTCGTTAGTCCAATAGCGGAAATCGTGGTACTTGGCATTGATATCGAAGCTGGTGCTGGACGTTGTGGCTGCGGAATCATTCAGATTTGATCGATAGTCCAAGGGTACGCTGGGGTCCACTGTCCCACTGACACCCTGGCACAAAGCCGAGACTTGAACAGGGAAAAGATTGGTAGCGTCAGTGCCGGCATAGGCCTTGAGTGACTTCTGGGGAACAATGTCAGGGAAGTGGGATGGCATGAAGCTTCCAAGGTTGAAAACCACGCCTCGGATGGCAACATAAGAGTCTGCTGTACCCGCACCATTCTTACCGCTGAGCTCTGCCGTGTTGTAAACAGCCTGAGTTGGACAAACCACCCCAGGGAAACCAACAATCATGAAAACTGCTACACCACAGGCGAACCAAATGATCATGTTGATAGCGAGCTTTTCACGCCACGCAATCCGCACGTCCTTGCGCTTCATTCGCCCAACGAACCGGATCACAAAATCGGGGATGAAGAATGTGAGGAGATAGACAAGGAACATCCAACGACGACGACCCGGAGAGGTCGGAGCCTCGTCAACCTCCTCCATCTTCTTTTCGTTGTTCTTCTCGAGCATTTGCTCTTTAGTGTCAAGATTCTTAAACATATCACCGGAATTGAAGGCAGAACCTCCGGCATCAGAGCGTCCATCCAGTTCGCGGCTACCAAAGTAGCCTTGTTTGGGATCATCTCCATAAATAAAAGCGCCCGGAGAAGGGTCGGTGGGGTGAAGAAGGCGGAGTTTGGAGTCCGGGTTTCCACCGGCGGTTTGGAAGCCATCGCCTTGATCAGCGCCTGTGTTTCCATATGGTGGTATCACGCCCTCGCCCACTTTGGCGATATCTGCCCAGCATCTTTCGCTCAAGAAAACACCGGTGCTACCGACACGAGCTTCGTTGCCAGGCCATCGCTTTTCGTCAAGAACAACCTCTGACTTTTCCCGGTCGCTGCCCACCACAACATTGCCGATGTCAGCGAGACCAAGGAACTCTCCGAATGGAAGGAAGACACTATAATCGGCATTCCGGAGCCGAGAGCTAATTTCGGCGATACCAAATGTTTGGACCTGCATCCGCACACACTTGCTGTCGAACTGGTTGGCAATGCGACGATCATTGGGCTTGAGGCAAATGACAAAATAGGGATTGAGGTTCGAGGAGCTCAGGCATTTGTTCACAATCTCCAAGCCAGAAAGGAACTGGCCGGCGGCTCCCTGGGCTGGGCCGGAAGGCATTCCGCTCTTCCGGGCGCTGGCTCTCTTGGATCCTGCAAATTGGCTTTCTGGTTCGTCCCCTTCCTCGCTTTCGGGGTGGGCACTTGGGGCAGCGAAACGGGATGGGGGTCCGGTCTTGCGTCTAGCCATGCTAGGCATGCGGAGTGGCTTTGAGCTCACCTGAGCCTGCATGATTGCAGTCTTTTCTTGAGGGTGGGATATGGTCTGCAGAGCTTCCTGGTGGAACAGCTCACGCACAAAGTCACTCCGGGTAGAGCGCATCAAGTTCATCAAATCTCCCGAGATAACCTCTCCATTCTCCTCCAGCAGGCCGGTGGTGGAGTAGTCTACCTCACCGGCGAAATGCTTGACGGTGAATGCACTTCGGGTCTGGGACATATAGCCACCTGACCCACTGGTGCCACCCACAGAGATGGCGGGATTCTTGTTCTCGAAGCGCTTTCGCACGCTGTCCAGGAACTGTGCATCGGATCTTCCACGACGGGTTTGGTCATCCAAGATACTCAACAGACCGTTGCCATGCTTCAGCAGACCACGCACGGTATCCGTGTTATCAAAATAGCTTGTCGCAGCTACGGTGATCTCCTCGCGGTCCAGAATATCTGCTTTGTGGTCGAAGAACGACTGGAGGCAGTAGTTGTAGAGAGATTCAGTTGCGGCATTGCTGAGAAGCTGATCGAGGGTGGACCCTGTGGAAGGGGCCTGAGCAAAACCGGGGAAATCAACAATGGAGATGGTATTGGCGACACTGTCTTCGGCTGCACAAATCCTTTGGTTCACGGTTTCAATGACGTAGGTCACTAAGAGAGAATAAATAGTACGAGCAAATGCATCAGCATTCTCTCGCGCTCCCTTCGGGTCCAGCATGACCGTCACCCGCTCGCGGTGGATCGTCTTCGTCCGGTAGCCAAGGCTATTTTCCAGAGCATCAACACTGAGACCCAAGAACGCGGCGACATTGTCGAGGACCTCCTTATTCTTCACCACCGTTACACTCTCCCCGCCCTCGTGGGAATAGCCGCCGCTTTCTTCCGCGCCGGTGGTGGTAGACTGACCCATGGTGAATTCGAGTTGCCCAATGTGGAGGATACTGGCCAAGATCTGGCAGATCTCGGCAATTTCCCCTCGGGAAAATTCCAACTTCCGCAGCGCGGTTTTGAAATGCTGGAAGCCCTCCGTATCATTGATTCCGACCTTCAGCTGAGTTGGATGGCCGAGATAGCGCCAGCGTTTGTGGCTGACAGTTCCACCGGACAGCCTGCTACCAGTTTGAACATGGATACTATTCTCAAATCCGAGGTGTGCCTTCTCTTGCGCACTTGTTCCAGCGAGCAAGTAGTACAACGCATGGAAGCTTCGCTCTCCCGTAGGCACCGAAGAGATGCGGCTTCGTTCCAATCGGTAGTCAATGATCTTACCGCCAATCAAGGTGGGGTTCACAGAGGATGATCCATCATATTGAAGCTCAAGAAAAAGACCAGCTTTTGAAGCGGTCGGTGTGGTGACGGATTTGGTGGTTGTAAGGGTGTCGAACACAAAGGCGGCATATGAGAGTTTAGAGGAAAGGGGGGTCGATGAAAAGGATAAAAACGAAGACAGCAAGTGCGAGCGAATGGTCGTTTTTCCGGATCCACTCTCTCCTCTTTAATCGAACGTTAGATATAGACTTTATATAGAGTTGATTCAACTTACAAGAACACGATGGCTTGGTTCTCAGCGCGCGCACCCAGACGAGTGAAGGCGCGGCGCGCGAGATCTTCCGCTTCGCCCGCTGCACTTCCCTCTTTTCCGCCATCGGGCCCTTTGGTCGCCGATGAATATGTATTCAGAGCAATGAGGGCCTGGGACGACAGGCGGGCAGTTGGTAACCCAACATGAAACCTAAAACGCACGTTAGCTACACCGATATCATACTCATCAACAGGGTCTGGGATCGCCATACCGGCTAGCAAGATGGGCTGTGAGATGTGTATCAGACTGCAGGTGGGCGGGCAATGCGGGGAGTGAGGGCTGAGCGTGTGCCGGGCCACTCCCTGAGAAGGTGTTGGCCATATCTGGATCCCCTCAGTTGAGATCTGAGGGCGCGAACGAGTGTATGACGGGCAATGGGGACGTCAAGTATCGACGGAGCGAGTGGCTTGGGAAGCCTCGCAGCAATGGAACGAACGTGGAGCGAGGCGAACAGGAATGCCTGGTAGACTTGGCGGAATAAAGACCCCTAGCAACAGATCGAGATGGCACGCATCGGGGTGCCGAGGGGAGCAAAGATTCCACGAAGTTGTGATTTGAGGTGCAATGGCGAGAGTACAGGGTGAACGAGTGAGCGATACAAGAATCAAAGCAGAAGCAGAAGCAGAAGCAGAAAATCAGACGCTCAGAATGCAAGATCACAAAGGGAAAAAAAGCAACAAATCGATAAGAGGTCGGGGGGGGATGTGTATTTTACCATACAACACAAATTACTAGCTCGGTCGCTAAGAATAGGTGAACCTCGGGCATACCGATTAAACAGGGTCTATTTGGGGATTATTGGGTATTTGATTGGGTTCGGCTTCATTGGACGTGTCTCGGGTGGAATCCACTAGAGCTGATCATGTTCCCACAATAATAATATTTGAGAGACACGCAAGAGTAAGAGATATAAGAGTTAGAAATACGAAGTACGAAGTACGGAGTAAAAGTTAGCAAAATAGAAACAAAATACACGGATCAGAAAAGGCCGGGTTGGAATGTTTTTTTTTAATATATATTAGTCTCATATTGAGAGAGATCTCCACTCCAGCTGTTCCAGAGCTACCGGAGTACGGAGTACGGAGGTACTCTGTACTACCATGTATATACATAGTCAGTACAGGGTCCAAGTCCCTGGAACATGTCAGCTTCCATATTTTCAGCAATATTGACCTCCTTGCAAGGGACATATCAAAAACTCTAAAATAAATATGAGCCGGAATATGAGCCAGAATATGAGCCAGAATATAATGGACAAAAGGTCTGAAACTAGGGGGTTCGGTCTAAGAAGATAAAGTGGTTCGACATTCTCGCGACAATGAACAGGCCAGTAAACAAGCTAGTAGAGGTGGCACAGTGGATCAAGTCTCCGATCATACACTGTGTGGCGAAACTAGTCATCTGGTAGAGAAAAATATGTGAGACATGAGACATCCCAAATATAGTGCACATGTGCTATACATAACCTATTAATACATTAAATACACAGAATACAGATAATACAGATAATACAAAGAATACAATACCCCGTCTATCACCCTCTATGGGGTTCTGGGTCCCCCGGTGACTGTTTATCTGGGACATTTTCATTGGTCGGAACTTATCAAGCAGAAGCTCATCAGGGTGAAAGAGCAACAAACATCCCACCCATAGTTCAAAATTACAGGGGAAACCCCCGTGTCTTCCAATACTGATACAGACAGCTAAAAAAAAAACCTGGCCATGTCAACATTTAAAATTAGACAGAAACTTGAATCGTATGTATGCAATGGTTTTACTCTTCATTAAGACCAAAAAAAGAATGCCAAAAGCTTAACTACTGGACTGCAAAAGATCAAAACGATCGTCAGGATCGACGGTATTTTTCCATATCCCGTAATTTTCAACTCCATCGATTTCTTTCTCCCCACGCCTAACTTCTCGGTTGTTTTGTCTTCTTCCTCATCCGTTCAGGAGTTCCGTCTCCAGTCGCTCGCTCAATTATCCAAATCCTTGATCGTCCAACCCTGACCTGATCTAAATCCAACTCTCTTTCATCCTCTACACGCCAACTCTCACTGTGCATTTAACGAGACAAGCGACCAACACGAAAAGAGAGTACCCTCATGCGGTTGTGATAACGAACAGGCCGGACATCGCATCTTGCCGTTAACATCATTGACTCTTCGACCTCACGTTCGTCATGTCAAACCGTTATTCGGTCTTCTCCACGCAGTCCGCGGGTCTCTCAGCCGGACCCAGACCACAACATGGAACTCAGGTGTCAACAACAACATTATTGAATGCCCTCCATTCCTTTTATACTGCAGGCCAACCATATCAACTAGACTCCGCCACGACTCTGGTTGTGAATACATGGGTGACCGCAGCAACCACTTTACCCGATGGCCGAACTGGCGCCACGGTCGATCGTGATCTAGCTATCAGAGCTTGGGAACATGCCCGACGCCGCGCCGAGGATGGCTGTGTTGTCCTAGGGTATGTTTGAAATTTCATTTATCTAAAAATTATGAGTAAAAGTTATGAGTATTAACATGAAATAGCGCTCTTCATCAATCCACACCCTCATTGCTAGAACCGTTTATCACGGCGATCCCGGTGGAAACACCTGAGGTAGCTCTGACCGCGCTCTCCGCTCTACGACCCTTCCTCACTGCAGTTACCTCGTTCAACCCATCCTACTCTCTTCATTCGGCGTTGGCCGCCACTTACACTTTGTCTTTGCAAGGATCCGTCGTTGGTCTCTCCTTTGCCTTGTCCACCTCCGGCATTAATGTGCACAAGGGTCTCCTAGAAATTCAACCGGAGACCGGCTACCGTGCGTTTGATGCCTTCTACTATCTCCTCACCTCTACATCAACGGCTGCGGAGCGTGAATTTTTGGACCTGAAAAACCCGGCTGCATATACCTTGCTCAACCGATCAAACACATATGATCCTCCACACTATCTACCCACAGCCGATGATGCTGCGGCAGCGGAAGATTTCCGTGCTTCCTTGAAGGCTATTGGCATCAAAGGTGCTGCTCAACGAGGTTTACTATCAGTCCTTGCTGGTCTCCTGAAACTCGGCAATTCAGTTGGGTTCGAGGTGGACCAGGAAGATCTGGAAGAAGTCTGTGAGGATGCTGGAGGTCTTCTGGGAATTGATCCAGAGATCCTCCTTCATAAATGTTCCACCGATGAGCGGGAAGTGTTGATCGCCGGAATCTACGAGGCTCTTGTGGATTGGGTCATCAGCAAAGCAAACGAAGCCATCACAGCTGAGATTCAGGTTGCATTGGAAAATGATTCCAGCAACGGGGGTGGTGCAGCACAATGGTCAAACGACGACACTGTCAACCTGACTGTAGTCGATATTCCACGACCAGCTCTCGGTAAAGCGATCATGATGAGAGGCATCTTTGACGATGGTCTTGGTCTTAATGCAGAAATGAAGGATGATGGAATTCCTCTCCCGCCCATTGGAGCTTCTGTCATTAGCGAAATGAACTCCGCAGTGGCCCAAGTTGAACCAGACCTTAATATCACCACAGGCCTTGCCGGGCGAGAACGGGAACACGATCTTGACAAGCGGCAGGGGGTACTAGAAAAGGTTGGTGTTGAACTTGAGATTGACGCCTTTCTCCGACGCATTCTTTTCCCGGTTGATACCGAAGGTATCTCCGTGGGAAAACGTGGCCGATTCGATCTTCCCACCACTCTCAACAGTAGCCGTGTTTGGTACCACCTCTCCCTCCATCCGACTGATGACATGCCAGAGCAGCTCGCGTCATCGGCACCTACAGCATGGTCTGCGGGTGCAGTCTCCCGCCAATTGCGAGACTGGCGACTCCCAGAATGGGCCAACCGTCGCTTGAAGCAACTCGATTTCACCGCCGATTTCGACGTGGAGGAGTTTGTCGGTCGGTATGCGCGACTCGGTTGCGCCGAAGGCCAGGATGGTGTTGAGAACTGGATCATCGAGAGAGGCTGGAGCAATGGCGATGCTGTCGTTGGTGAACAGCGCGTGTGGATGCGCGAGGGGGCGTGGTGGGAAGCGGAGAGTATGCTGGATCTTAAGCCAGAAGAGACTCACGTGAATCCGTTCATGTACGGCCCTGCGTTGTACGAGCCAGGCTTCACCCCAGATGGCACTGCCATCAATGAAAATTCCAATCTTCTCGCCATGCCACCTGGTGGCGCCGGGGCCCCGAGTGTCATGGGCGGTGCCAAATCCATCGCCCCCAGTGCGCCATTCACCAACGCCGCCAATGCTGGTGACTACGGCTTGGGACGGAAAGGTGACGATAAAAAGGGAGACATTGCATACTACGACGAATATGGCCGCTACATCGGCGAATTCGACCCTGAGTTCGGTGATCCGAAGCACATTGAGAAGAAAACCATAACCTTGGGCCGTCGACTCTGGACTGGTTTTGTCTGGGCCCTAACGTTCTGGATTCCTTCTTTCGTGCTTCGATACGTTGGCCGTATGAAACGCCCGGATGTCCGCCTGGCCTGGCGAGAAAAGCTCGTCCTTGTGTTATTGATTCTATTATTTAACGCCGTTGTCTGCTTCTATATCATTGCATTTGGTGACCTTCTCTGTCCCAACAAGGACAAAGTCTGGAATGAGAGGGAAGTCAGCTGGCACACAACTGACGATAACTTCTTCGTCGGCATCCACGGCCGTGTCTACGACATCAGCAAATTCTGGCGCACACAACACAGTGACATAACTGGAGAAGACACAAGCTCGGACAACATGAAGCAATTTGGAGGAGAGATTTTAGATGCCTACTTCCCCCTCCTCTCAACCGTTATTGTGCCCCATTTGTTACATCCGATACGCTCGCCCTCCAGCATAACGACACGGATGCTATCGCACTTTCTACGGCCGAGCACAAATCCGGGGCACAGTCATTAACCACAACTTCGGCACTCCACAAGGATACCTGGTACGAAAAGATATTCTTGCCAAAGATTGGTACATACTACAAGGGTGATTTGGTTTGGACAAGAAAGACCATCCAGAAACAGGCCAACGATGATTCTCGCTACTGGGTTATCAAGGACCAAAAGGTGTATGACTTGACCGACTACTTCTACACACTCAAAAGGATGAACAATATCGACGAATACAGTTGGCTACCGTCGGCTGTGACTACTCTCTTCAAGGACAACATGGGCGAAGATGTCACAGACAAATGGCAGGATACAACGGATTTCAGGAATGCCCAGACATGTCTCGACTTTGTCTTCTATGTCGGCAAAGTTGATTTCCGTGACAGTCCACGGTGCACGGTCAACAACTGGATCCTGCTCACCTTCACCATTCTCATCTGCTCTGTCATCCTGATCAAGTTCCTGGCAGCTCTGCAGCTGGGATCCAAACGTCGGCCCACGCCCCAGGACAAGTTTGTCATTTGTATGGTTCCTGCATATACTGAGGGTGAAAACGATCTCCGGAAAGGTCTTGACTCTCTTACTGCCTTGCAGTACGACAACAAGAGAAAGCTAATCTTTGTCATCTGTGATGGTATGATTGTTGGTGGTGGAAATGACCGCCCCACGCCCAAGATCGTTCTGGACATTCTTGGGGTTGATCCTAAGATGGACCCACCGGCACTGCCATGCAAATCACTCGGCCAGGGAAGTGAACAGCTGAACTACGGCAAGGTTTACTCCGGATTGTATGAGTACGAAGGCAATGTCGTCCCTTATATTGTGGTCGTCAAAGTTGGCAAGGAATCCGAGCAGCGCAAGTCCAAGCCTGGCAATCGTGGCAAGCGAGACACGCAGGTCCTCCTCATGCAGTTCTTGAACCGTGTTCATCACCGCTCACCCATGTCGCCCCTAGAACTAGAGATGTTCCACCAAATCAACAACGTCATCGGCGTAGATCCAGAGCTATACGAATATTGTCTCATGGTCGATGCAGATACCACTGTCAGGGAGGATTCTCTGAATCGCTTAGTTGCCGCGTGTGCAGCAGATGCCAAGATCGCCGGTATTTGCGGCGAGACTAGTCTTCAGAACGAGGAACGCAGTTGGTGGACGATGATTCAGGTTTACGAGTACTACATCTCGCATCACCTGGCTAAGGCATTTGAGTCACTCTTCGGCAGTGTCACCTGTCTTCCTGGATGGTAAGTCGCTACGAGCTTTTTCTCTTTCGGGATAAAACTGATACTAACTGTGCTAGTTTCACCATGTATCGCCTTCGAACTGCGGACAAGGGACGTCCTCTCATCATCTCGGACAAAGTCATTCACGATTACGCTGACAATGATGTTGACACTCTCCACAAGAAGAACCTCCTGTCTCTTGGTGAGGATCGGTACCTGACAACCATTATGACTAAACATTTCCCATCAATGTCGTACAAGTTTATTCCCGATGCCTACGCAAGCACAGCCGCCCCTGATACCTGGAGTGTGCTCATGTCCCAGAGACGTCGCTGGATCAACTCCACAATCCACAACCTCGTGGAACTGGCAGCTCTGGAAGATCTCTGCGGTTTCTGTTGTTTCAGTATGCGTTTCGTCGTTCTCGTCGATCTGGTGGGAACTCTCATCCTTCCCGCGACCTGCGTATACCTCACCTACCTGATCTACCTAGTTGCTAGTCATACTGGTCCCTTCCCTATGATCTCAATTATCATGCTGGCTGGTGTATATGGTCTACAGGCGATCATCTTCATTGTCAAACGGCAGTGGCAACACATCGGATGGATGATCATCTACCTTCTTGCGTATCCGATCTACAACTTCATCCTGCCGCTGTATGCCTTCTGGAAACAAGACGATTTCGGATGGGGTACTACACGTATTGTCATCGGCGAGAAGGGCGACAAGCGAGTCATCGCCGTGGAAGATGAGCCCTTCGACCCACGCAGCATCCCACTCCAGCGCTGGGATGACTACGCCATGGCCAATAACCTCCCTGGCCGCCGCGGTGATCTCAGCGCCAGCCAAGAGAAGATCTACGCTGCTGGCCGATACGACGACATGGCTATGGAGATGGATGACATGCACTCGCAATACTCATCTGTCAAGCCAGCCTCCACCATTCTCACCGGATTCCCAGGCCAGGGCCGCCACCACCCCTACCTACCCCCGCAGTCGCCCGCACCCTTCGTTGGCGGCAACATGCCAGGCAACCGCAACTCGCACATGTCAAACTTCTCCCGCTACACGGACATGCCGCAAGCAGGCGCTCAGATGGGTGGCCACTCTGCCCAGGCCTCCCGGCACATGTCCATGGGTGGCCTTAGCGCCTACCAGGACAACCCGATGGCCGCGAGCAGACACAGCGTGGGCATGATGCAGAGCAGTGATAACCTCCTCGGCAATGCTGGCTCTCGCAGCCCCCTGCCTCAGTACCTCTCTCGACCTGCCAGCACTGCCTTTGATTTCCGTTCTGCCAGTGGACCCGATGAGGGTGCCATTACCGAGGCAATTCGCGGTTGTCTGGCCGAGGTTGATCTAGATACTGTCACCAAAAAACAGGGTAAGTTTCCAACTCTATCTCTACGATAATTTTACAGTTTACTAATCGTATCCCTATAGTCCGCGTTCTCGTCGAACACCGCCTGCAAACCTCGCTCACGGGCGACAAGCGAGCCTTCCTGGACCGACAGATCGACCAGGAATTGGCTAACATGTGATTTTTTTAAACTTGTAATATGCACTCTGCATCCCCATTCATCTAGCACGTGTTTTTCTATTTTTTTCTGATATGGGGTCTCGGCATCTCCGGCGTTCTTAAGGAGTTTTGGTCTCTTTTCTTTTTCGAGCACAGCATCCAGCGTCCTGGTCTTTGAGCTATTATGCTCTATAGTCTTCACTTAATGGGATCTTTTTTTTTTCTAGCGCCTAGTGACAATAATATATGTTTTGATGATGTTGGATCTAGGCCTCGGTTGTTTTTGTAAATCTTGCATCGTAGAACCGAGAACTCTCATTTTGCGATCTCGCTGTGTCCTACATTCCAAGTTGACACAAAGGTTGGAAATATATCGAGTCCTTCGGTATCGACAAAGCCCTACATCTTCACTACATCTTCATTTGTTAGTCTAAAAGTTGATGAGCGCCATCACCCTCATTATATATGTTGTAGCAGTTCGGTGTTCAACATGATAATTAGAATCACCCAACATGATGGCCTCTTGTGGGCAACTAAAGTCTGAAAGGTATCATGTCACTGGATATCCACATTGCTAGATGCTGGGCCTAACGATGCACAATATTCTTATACTGATCCAGTAGCTTCCTGAACCCCTTCGAGTGATGCGACGTGAGATGATGATAGTAATGATCCCTGGCAGCATCCATAATCGCTTTCACCTTCTCTACGGGAACCTTTTCTTTACGATCATAGGTATACAGACCATTGACCTCCTGCTCAATATCACATCTAGATCGGAAAACAAACACATATTAGCAGACGTTCCCGGATCCCAATTCCAGTACCAAGAATGATGCATGCAACATACAACTGAGTCCAGACAAGACCACAAATATGTCCGGGTTTTACAACCGCCATAACCAGTTTCTCAAATCGTACCAAGAAGTCTGCTGGGTCGCTGGCAGTCGTATACCCCCAGTCCCGCTCGCCGGCAGCAGCAGAGCCCTTAGGCGGTGCGATATTAACCCCGCCAAACTCACTGCAGATCACTGGCGCACCAGGCGTATGCTGGGCACCTTCGTCGAGGATCACGGAGCCGGAAAATCCCGAGTAGATCGGTTTGGTGAAGACCGAATGTCCACCTTTCAATTCGAGGATCCCTAACATGGTGGCACATGCTGCGCTCAGATCGACTGAGTCGCTGTAGTCGTGGAAGGTTGTTAGGTCGGTTTTGACGTGTTCCCAGCCACAGTTGTCGTTGATTGGTCTACTGGGGTCGAGGATCCTGTATTTTTGCATTAGCTAGTTCATCCATTTCCTTCTTGGCGACGCGGACACATTGGAAATGCCACCACCCGGGGTGGGTCATACTTGGTCAAGTAGTACAAAGCGCGAACATGGTTGCGCTGCTCGATATTGTCCTTCAACGCAGATACGCCCCACGACTCATTAAGCGGCGTCCAGGTGATCAGGGATGGGTGATTGATATCCCTCTTCACGGCTTCGGTCCACTCGCTGGTAAATCGCTCAATGTAGTCCGCATCGAACTCGTAGGCATTTGCCATCTCACCCCAGACGAGGAAGCCCATCCGGTCTGCCCAGTAGTAGAAGCGCGGATCTTCAACTTTCTGGTGCTTGCGACATCCATTGAAGCCAAGCTTCTGCGCTAGCTCGATATCTGTCTTCAGAGCCTCTGAGGAAGGAGGTGTCATGCCCGTTTCGGGCCAGTATCCCTGGTCCAGGAATAGCATCTGGAAATACGGCTTTCCGTTCAGTCGGAATGTTCCATCGCCGTTCTGCCAGGATAGACTGCGCATTCCGGTCGTAGTCTGGACTTCATCAACCAGACCGCCACCCCCATCAAACAGCCGAAGCGTAATATCATAGAGAACAGGATGCTCCGGAGCCCAGAGTGCAACACCCCGACTCCAGACCCCGTCAACACCAAACAGCTGTGGGTCCTGCGTCTTCAACTTCTCCACCGCACCTTCAGTAACCTTTATACCCAGATCAAGTGCAACAAAGGTTTTATCACGCAGAAGCTCACCGTCCACCTTCGCAACACTCAGCCCTCCAAGCGATACCTCAACCTCAACCTTCGCCGCACTTCCAACCCGACGTCCGGCAACATGAACCTTTGCATGCAACTGACCGAGCTCAATATCATCAGAACGAATCACCGTCCCTCCACTTCCACATAGCAACCGCATAGCCGGAACACTCTCCAACCAAACAGACTGCCAGATACCACCGCTGGGGGTGTAGAAGATACTCTCCGGGACAGGCTTCCAGAACTGTTTCCCACGCGGCTGGGTCATATCATAAGGCGAGTCTCTAACACGGAGAGTGAGACGAGCCTCCGTAGCACCATCAACCAGGACGTCAGAGACATCTATATCGAATGGCACATGTCCGCCACGATGTCCACCGACAAGAACACCGTCTACCCAGACAGAGCACTCGTAATCGACGGCACCGAAGCGAAGGAGGAGTCTGTTTCCCTTTTGTTTTTCGTCGGGTGTGCGGATGTCTGTGATGCGTCGCTCGTACCACATTACCTCGTGCGCTTCGATGAGGTTTATGCCCGATGCTGGGGTTTGGAATGCGTAAGGAACTGTTATCTGATGGGAAGTTTGTTCTTTTAGGCTTGTTTTGGGCCATTGGGAGATTAGACCTTCGTCTTTGTCGTCGAAGGTGAAGGTCCAGGGACCGTCTAGGGTGGTCCAGTTTAGAGGGGTGCGTTGGAAGTCAGGGCGGGGGTAGGATGTTGACATTTTGGAGATTATGGTAGTTTAGTTATTTAGTTTAATGGAGGGGTTTATGGGCTCTTGGGAGTTGTAAATTGATTAATAGGGGGTGGGAGAGAAGTGCGTTGTTAAGGTCAACGACCCCGCGTCTAACGTCACTCGCCACAGGGAGCATACGCATACCGAGACGTCGATCTCACTCGAAGTTATCTATGAGGTTGATATTAAAGGGTTCATGTGCATACATATGTAGTCGCATTTATGCTCAAAAACAATAGCATCCTTCAAAACAACTTAGATTGGAGAATGTCTTCTAATGGCAAAATCTCATTGATGATTGGGGGATATCAAAAGAGTAAAACATCAACATAAAAACCCAACTTATTGGAAAACTCCTCTGAAGTCGATGCCAGATCTCCCTGGGATCAATTCAGACTATCCAATCCTTTCCTCCTAATGCGCACCGCGAAAAAAATATAAAAAAATAAGACAAAAAGAGGCAGGATATGGTCAAGACCATCCTTGCTCTATCGCACGCAGATCTTGGATATCTCGTTTTCTTTTCTTGACGCCTTCATTGCTTGCGTTCCGTGGTATCAATCAACAAGAAGACCGACAAAAAGACAACCGAAAAAAAAACACGCTGGGAATGAAAAAAACAAGACAAAAACAACTCAACCAAAAAAAGGGTATACTGCTGCAAATGGATATTTTGGTTTTAACGCGGTGGCCCAATTGGGGCCGGGTATCCAGAAGTAGAATTGGAAGTGCTAGGACGACCACTATCAAAAGAGGTGCGCGGGTCATGCTTGGGTGTCATGTCACCCGGCGCGGTGCCGAAGGGGAACTTAGCGTCAAAGCGCGTGGGCCAGCCATTGCTGGTACTGCTCTTGTGGCTGTGCGAGCTCCCCAGGACGGGCACATCGTCTTCGGGGAGGTTCACGCCAGAGTCGTTCCATGGGTTGCGATAGCCGCTATCGCGCGACTCCATGGAGACGAGTGAGGCCTTGGAGGCGTTGCTCGAGGCGTGTTTGAAGAATGATCCCGGTGAGGCGGAGTGATTCTTGCGGCCAATGAACGAGGAGAAGGACGAGATGCTTCCGGGCTTACGGAGGCGCTCGAATATCGAGCCTCGTTCACTGGTCTCATCGGAGAAGTTCGGCCGGGTGGGCGAGTCGGTCGAGAGGGGCGCTGGGGCGTGCTGCAGTAGCTTCGAGTCGAAGAAGGGCAGCGACTCTTCGAACGAGTCGGATTTAGGGCGCGGGATAGCACCCTTCACAGTGTTCGCGTCGAGTCCATGCGCAACAAGACGGGAAATCAGGAAGTCAATCGCATCCTTTAAGCCACCGGCGTTGTTGCGCGTGTATCCGAGGACCACACGGTCTTCAGGCCCGGGAGTGGGAGACGAGGAGCCTTCCTCGTGGGTAGTAGGGAGATCGGTACCAACATCCACGTTGATATCGACCTCGTACTGTTCCTTGAGCTTGGTCCGAACATCAGCAAGGAAGTCAGAGCACTTAAAGTAGTCCTGGAGTTCGATGGAGCTCTGGAAGTGAAGCTCGTGGCTCTCTGGCACCATGCCAAGCAATGCGTCGACCGCTTGGGGGACCTGATACTCAGGGCCGGAGATGGTGACAACGTCACTAGCAAGTTCAGTGCTTGGGAACTCGATCTTGCAGTTCCATTTCTTCTCCAGTTCATCGATCTCAGCCATACGGGCCAATAGCTCGCGATGGTATAGGCGATTGATGACGACTCTCTCAGCGACGTATTCGGCATCCTGAAAATTTGTAAGTTTCTATCATGAGATCAAAACTGTATATACTGTAAACACTTACAACTTTCTCGACCATGTCCATAATCTCCTGCTTGACAAGGTCCAGACTTTGAGCGTTGCGAGCAGGGGTCCGACAGATCACGTTGTCAACCTTGATGTCGTCATCCTCCTTGCCCATGCCGCCGCGGTCCATGGCATTGGAGAACTTCACGAAGACAGAGTATTTCTTCATGATGCGCTGGATATGTTGTCCACCAATTCCGATGATCCGCTTGTGATACTGGTCAGGCACGTGGAACGAGATCGATGCAGGCATCTCCTGCTCAACCAAGTCCAGGCCATTCTTGGTTGACTCATACTGGTTGCCGCACACGTCGATATAGAAGTTATACTCGTTGAACCCATCGAAGATGATCTGGACATTACCTGAGTGCGAGTCAGCATCTCGTATCAAAGGTGGAATGTCTAGTAAAACTCACTCTGCCCCATGATCTTGTTGATCTTTCCGTTCTTCTTGCCACTAACAAACTCCTTGTGCTCGTTGGCCAGCTCAATCTTCACCCGCATCTGGTATTGGCTTCGCATCACGAAGGGAATCTGATTGATGACGGTCATAGCAGCCTTGACTGCATCATCGGAACCGTTGATCGTGAAAGTCAGATTGTCAAAGCTGACCTCCGCTTCCGAGTTGGTACATATATCCGATAGCATGGAGCGAATATCGGCAGTTGAGGGAGCACGGAGACCACCTTGGGCCGGGTCGGGCATGATGATCCACCACGAGGCACTATAGAATTGACCAGCCTGTACGTTCAAAAATTAGCCAATAATTCCGCCAAAGTGTCACGAAGCGACGCACCAGAGCCATGATTTCCCGAACTGTCCGCTCAACGTGCAACACCTCGGTGCCTTGAATCCGAACAAGGCCACGTTGGCTACCCAGTTGCGGGAAAAGAACATAAGACCCATTCATTTCCATCACCTTCCGGACCTTATCCAAACGATCGAGCAAGATGTTGTCGATCTTGCTCGAGCTGACAACCACATCCTTGACAAAAATCTTCACCCCCATCACCAGTTCTCGTAGCTTCTGCTTGGCGCGAGCAATCTGTTCCGGGGTCTCGCCCGTAATATAAACCTCATCCTCACTTCGACGGTTCGCACCGGGGGGGATATAGCCGAAAATTTGGGGGAAAGGCGGAGGGAAATAAATAGCGGTGCCTGTAGCAGCCTCGATGAGCTTGATGTTCTTGCGGGTGCGACCACAGACCAAGGTGTGCATAGTCGAGTCCAATTTGATAGCATCCACATGGCGTTTGAGCTGGTCTCCGGTTAGTTTGCCGGCCTCACGACACACGCACAAAAAGACGTACTATTTGGTCAATCATGATCAAAACCCGGGTTTTGGCATGTTCCGAGCTCTCCAAGTCGCCGTAGATGGCAACCCGGAAGCGCTGGTCCAAGCCATTGTCCGACGCATAGCCATAGGACGAAACCACCGCACTATCTGCATCGTGGAGCTTGGGAGTCAGCAGGAAAATGTCCGCTCCGGTGTAGGCGGCCAAAGTGTCGAGATGCTCGAGGACGCTAGCTCTAATTCCTTTCGGTGATCCATCTATAATCAGATGCATATCCACATCGACGGTCGCACATCGCTAGTGAACGGTCCGAAGTTAGCAAGGGATGCCTGAGGACCTGAAAATCCTGCTGGTGCTAGATCCCAAAAAAATTCGTCCACGTACCAGCATGATCGGGGTCTCATTCAAGATTCTCGCCCGCATCTTTCGTGCCATCTCCCCATCACCTGTCACACAGACGTTGGTCACCAACCCGTTCGGCCGGCGTTGTAGCGATGGCACAGCCTTGGCCTCGGAGGTCGTGAGCGTAGCTTCCACGCGTCCTCCTTTCTCTTCCGTTATCTTCCGACATAACCTCTGCAAACCCTCAACATTGTTGGTGTGAACGGGAAGCTGGTGCACCGATGTGCCCTCTAGGGTGCCTTCCGGGAAAGTCCAGCGCTGGAGAGCGCCGGGACTGGCGTGGAGCACATCTTCGACATCGGGGCCGGCGAGAGTTGACGAGAATGGGACGTTAAAGGACAGATTGACTGTAGGGTCGATACTAGTCGGCGGTGTCATGGGCGGCGCACCGTGTGGTCGGCGAAAAGCCATGTCGGTGTGAGGTCTAGACATCCCGAAAGTCGGCGTCATTCGTTCCCAACCATGACGGGCCTGGCCCGTAAAGTTGGATATCTTGTGCATGACTAGGTAGAGAAATCTCTAACCCCTTGAGCGAGTCGAGGGGATAGAGAGAGAGGGAGAGAGTGGATGGATTGGGTTGGGGTGTGGGAAGGAATCAGGCCGTTCTCGACAGGGATGGGAATGACCTGTGTGGGCGTTTCGACCCGGGAATGGTGGAAACGAAGATCGATGGGGCCAACCAACGCAAATTCTCTATGAGAAGGAAAAAAAAAGAAATGAGATGAAAATAAATATAAAATATAAAATATAAACTCTGAAATATGTGTATATATCTTTCACATCCAAATAAAAAATAGAAGAAAAAGAAAACAAAAACAAGAGGGAAAAAAAATTAGGTGTCGTCAGTCCTTGCGGGTCTACTTAATTTTGCAGTTTTTTGGGAAAGATTTATATGTACGGAGTATGTATTCTTGGTGGATTGTTTAGTTGAGATTAAGACATATAGCTAGTAAAGGACAGGATCCCTGAACTTAACATCTTTTTCTTCGAATCCACATTGTCCTTAATCAAGAATGCAGGATCTTGAATGTCCATTCGCAAGGGTCTTCTTGGCAAATGGGAATCTAGCCAATATTGGATACTTAGCACCCGATACAGCACATCCCATCACATCTAAACTACTCCGTACCTGGCCAGTTATCCCAGTAAAATTACCCTTTGAGTCCCTAGAAACCTTGAAACCATGTCTCACACCAACTCTGCCCTCGAAAGTGGATATATGAAAGTGATAGGATGCTACGGAGTACGATGAGGTGACTATTTTGCGCCTCAAGGCTGTGCATTCACCTTTTCGAAGCCTTCAGGTACTTTCAGGATCCGAATCATTCCGTACCGTACCAAGCATACACGGGTCGATCCTTTCATAGGCCCCGGGATAGAGAACCCTGTATGCCGCCGTATCTCAATTCACCTTAAGATAGGACTTTGCCACCGGCTGGGCCGGGAAAACTGAGGGGTCAGGCCTGGTTTGGCCTGGTCAGGCATTGTGGAGCTAAAAGGTTGATCATACCTGCTGATGCCTAAGCGGGATTCTGACTTCTGATGTCTAGACTTTACGGCCCCGGGGGACAACCTATTGTGCTTCCGATACAATACACTGTACGGATTAATTGCAAATTCACACTAGTAGTACCTACTATTTACTATGTATATATGCATAAATGATACAGATGATTGCTATATAGTACATAGTATATCCTGCAATGCACTGGGAACTGGGAATTATTGCCCATAAACTTCCCCTCATATAGTCGACGTCATCTTCTCGTATAGGCGGTAGTGGGTCACTTCTTCAGCTCAACGACTCGACAATTCCGACTGGACCGTTTTGAAAATCAGACTGCAGGGGGGGTGGTCAACCCGTCCCCGGTTTCAAAAGGATTTATCACATTCGGTTTTAGCTTTTAGTTTACGGAGTAGAGGACATCAAGATAACGGCCTGGTTAATCGGTGTATGAAATGACCTTGGAGAGCTTGTGAAAGTTGAAGTGTTATCTCTTCACATTTTATATGGTAGAAGATGCTGTCCATTCACCGTAGGATATATAACAATTTATAACCATGATTTTTTTGCCACATTTCGCCTTTCTCGATGTGGCCTTTTCAACTCCACAGAGTACGTCTACAGGTCGCTTAGACCGATCGATCGTTGAAAGTCGTCGATCATTGGTATAGGGATTCTCCTGCAAACCATAGACTCCACATGTCATCGGTAAACGGTTGACAACTGTAGACCCGTTAGCCGTTACTATATAACTACTTTTGTATGTTATAAAACAATCCTGTCTTAAGCATTAACTAGTACTACAAAGTAGCCTGGGTTGGTTACATACCGCTCACGTGCAATATCGTGATCCAACACCGGTTATTAATAGCGACAACTTTCGTCCATTCAAACCTGAAATCCAGGAAACTTCCCGATAAGGATAACTGCATAGGAGTGCGGCGCTATCGATGGTGCCAATCTTTCAGCTTGCTTGCGTTCCTATTCATGCCCCTGTATCGTAATCGCTCAACCAGTGGCCTCGGGAACACACCTAGATTGTACTAATGGCGATTTTAGTTTAGGGGTGTCCTATATACTATGTACTATCGATGAACTAAAAATTAGTCCCTCATAGACGAATTGATTTGGCTATTTGATCCTCGAGTAGCTGAATCAGCTTGACCAGGAGGAACAGACTGTCTGAATATGGCAAACTGTGTCTAGGTCCATTTAATGACACTCTCGGTATAAGTAAACTTTGGCGTTTTCGGGGAGATTGCTTAAGTCTTAAGCTTTTCTAAATCAATTGTTTAAATATATATTCATACCATGAGCGTCACCACGTTGGGCACAAGTCGGCAGGCTATGTTCGAGCTTCTCAAACATAATAGGCCAGGCAAATTCAGACAATCTGATTGAAATAGTATCATTGTAGAATAGAGTTTCTAGCTGCAAATATATGGTTTTCTGAAGGAAGGCAATAACAGTATCAAACAATACCCTATAATTAGCTTGAATTTATCTTACTGTTTGATGTTATATTAGAGCTGTATATGGAGTAGACATACCAGGACTAGTATAAGTTTTCAATATCTCATGTTTGGATAAATTGTTGTTAGGTGAGATAGAAAATACCCGGAACACCTAGGCAGCGTTGTGTCCACGGGTGTGTGACCTGTTTGTGGTGGGCAAACGAACCAAGAGCCTTCCAATTCAATCTTTCTGTCTCTCAGTTTTTCTCTGTTTACCTGCATCTCATCTTACAACTCACCTTCAACCACTCTCTGTATCCTCCTTTGTCAACTATCCATCCCCCATCCCGGTCTATTAGTGGCCCGATGACGACTCAGGCTAAATGTTCTGACCTTTTTGATAGACAGCCTACTAACAACACATTTGATACCACATAGGTGTACTCTGCAGTTTGCAAAGAAGAGCATGATACCGTAATTTTCATATCTATCTTTCAAAAGATGAGTGGAACATCTACTATGTAATGTATGCAAAGTGATCCCTTAGTATGACTAGTGGTTAAGTCCAATTAAATGCACATTGTGACGTGGATAAAGTTACATATTTGATCCGAGTTTCATTCTTCTGAAAAGTGTCCAATAGAGGGCTACTTGATACTCAGTAATAAGATACCGATTTTAAAGACCTTGCAAGTTTGTATTGCCTAAGGTATGAGTCTGGAATAGTACAATTAGATACAAAGTCATGAAATGTTCGCAAATCGACGGGAAAAAAAAAATCAAGCGCGTGACGCTACTAGTAACGCTGTGCACCCCGCTGGATCGTATCATTCGCACCATCCAGCGCTAGGCGATCTCCCTCTTCATCTTCACCTTCATAGTACCGTCGATCCCGAATGTAGTACGGTCTCTCAACGTATTCCGCGGGTTGCCTTTCCCTGAAGGTACTGGGCGCACGGCCTGGGCCAGTTGGTCGTACGCTCCCAACGCGCTGAACAACCTCATGCGCGTTCTCATAGCGAGGCTGTGGAGGTCGAACACTGGCTGTCCGAATTATTCTCTCCTGGGGCAATCCACGCTCATCGACATAGACTGCATGACGAGGAATGTACTCCGCTACTTGTACACTGCCGCTGCGTGAGTAAGGTTCATGGCCTTCCAAAGGAGCAGCGTAGCCTTGTCTCTCATCGGCTGCTATGGGTCGGGCATATTCTGACGTCACTCGCCTGTAGACTGGCTGGGGTGGGGGCATTTCCTGCACATAGTGTCGTTCACCGTAAGGGTCTTGCACAACCGAAGGCGCACGAACACTGCCCGCGTGGTGATGCACGCGTTCATCGTAAACATCCTTTGACATCCGAGAGACTGGCCGCGGCGGGGGCGGAGGTGCCATCGGCTGCAGTCTTGGTGCCTGAGGCAACTCGTAGTACTGGGTGCCATGCTCATCAACCACGATCCGACGTAGTGGGGGTGCCATAATCCGTGCCGGTGGTGCCTCTTCGTAGTAAGTCTCCCGGTACGTTGGGTGCGGCATGTCATCCGCAGCAATGTAACGATGCTGTGCGTAAGGAGGGGCTTCTTCGTAGTACCTTGGCCGCTCTTGAACCGGGCGTTCCACAACGTATGACGCCGCCCGAACTGGGCGTGGATGGGCCTCAATGTACTCACGAGCATAGTCTGATTGTCGAGCATACTGTGAACTGGCGACTCGTCGAAGATCGGCTTCCTCCCGGATTGGCCGTCTTGTGCCTAAACGAGATATTGTGCGCTGGGGCCCAACGTCTGGTAGAGGCTCGTGGTACGGGTCAATCTCGTAAACTGGCTCTCGTACTGGCGGCCCACGACTTTCGTATACTGAAGTGTATTGTGGAGACGCGATGTCAATGTAAATGGGGCGCTCTGCAGGGTTTCGGCTGCGAACAACCGTAGGATCATCGGCGAAAGGTGGCGGTGAAACAGGTTCCTCTTTGATGAATGCGTCGACAGGTTCTGCATTTTGCGCTCTGTGCGAGGCTTGGCGAAGCCTTTCATCGCCTTCACGCAGCCTCCTCCGTTTCCGAGACATGACTTGAAGGACTGGTGCATTGGGGCTGCCACGAGCAGAATCAACGTCCGAGTACACCTGGTCTGAACCATGTTCGGATCGTTCATCCCGGATGTGCTGGACAGAAGGAACCTTTGCAATGGCCAGAGGTGATACTCGAGATGGCCGGGGAGCTGCCGGTGATGTGATGTGATTTCGAACTACCTTCAGGTTTGCGGGAGATGGGGGCTTGCGGATATCTCCGGCTCGGTCGGTGTATCTGGCATCTGGCCTAGATATTCTTCCAGCATCACTTTCTAACCCGCGGGGATATTCGCGATGATCCGCTGGCGGCGCCGCTGGAGCAGGTGGGGAATACTCGGGTTCGTCCACAGTCTCGAACTGATCCGAATCGCGGAAGCGGCTGACGGGAGCCTCTGCTTTGTGTTCGCGGGCCTGCTTCTGAGAATGGGAGTGACGCTGGTCAGCAACAAGGTAAGCATCTGGCATTTCCTGATCA